ACTACAAACAGAGGCGGCGACAGGACAACATAGCAGAACTCTCTTCAGGTCTACCTGAACGGCAACAAGTCCTCCGGCTCTGACAGAACCTCGTTTGGATCACGAGTGGATCACGATCCTCAGAGACAAACCGTTTCTGACATGCACTTTGATAAATGTGAGTAGATGTGAGTCTTTTCATCTGTAGTCATGGCAACGGAACAGGTCATCGGACTAGAATAGATTATTATTATGGCTCAATAACTTCAGTAACAAACAGCATCACTGTGTTATTTATTACCGGGTTAAATGTGTTTTTTTTTTGTAAGATAACTTTAGTGCCAAACTTTATCATTAGCAACATTAGCTAACACTCTAAACTAAAGCTTATTAAGGTTAGCTTCTAAGCTAATACATATTATTTTTCTGCTCTTTTAAACACACATTTACACACTGTAGGTGTGGGATATTATACTGCGTTTTCTGTTTAAATGAGAAACGTTGTTTTTTATGTTATTTATTTCAGAGTATTAGTGAACATAATGTTTTATAACTGTAGACATTTAAAACCAGGCTATTAGGTATAGCCTGGTTTTAAATGTTAGCCTATGAGATAAATGCAGACAGGCAGGCTATTTTATCTTGATTTGTGTCTTTTTATTATCTCTTAATTAGCCACACGTCAGCAGGTAGTGAACAAGAACGGTTTTTAATAAATGTGTCATATTTGTGTGGATGACGTCACAGCTTGGGTGAAGTTTTGGGGGAACCCTGATACAGCCCCTGGCCTAAATGTTTTCATTTCCTCATTTTATTAAAGCCAGGCAAGCAGAACTTTGTGAAGTGACAGTGTTATGTTTGCTCTAATGGCGTGTGCGTTCATGCTATCTCTGGTTAATATGCATGGTTGGGCGCACACACACACACACACACACACACACACACACACACACACACACACACACACACACACACACGCACGCACGCACGCACACGCGCACGCACACACACACACACACACACACTGTGAGTCTGTTAGACCACAAAACGAGGAAGTTAATGCTCCGCCTCTTTCATTCTGCGAAGATCAAGCCAGATGAGAAAGGTCGTCGGAATCCCCAGCCTCCCACGCACATGACTCAGTGTCCAGGGCTTTCCACAGACCTGATTTGAATTGAACACAGACTCGGTCCAAGGCGGGCAGTTCATGTGCAGAACTAATTCAGAGTGTGTTTATGTTGTCTCAGTATTGGACCAGCGGAGGTATTAAGGCTTCGTTTCATGTTTATCAATATGTGTCGGGCCAGAATATGAAGCTGCTTCTGTTTCTGGGTTATGCAGTAGTGGAGTTACTGAGTGATTTCATCAGCAAAAAGGTTAAAGGTCACATTTTGAAACAAAGATCAAATGAGTCAGGGCTCACTAACCAGTAGTAACACCTTGAAGCCTGAAAACGAAACTGTGCGGCATTTATAAGTATGGGCTTATGTCATGATTTCTCATCAAGTGACCTTTATTGTGTGTTAGGGACACACACACACACACATGCACGCACGCACGCACGCACGCACGCACATGCACACACACGCACGCGCGCGCACGCGCGCACGCACATGCACACACACACACACACACACACACACACACACACACACACACACACACACACACAGTGTCCAAATGTTAATGGAAGTGAAATTTGTTGTTTTGGAGAAGAACCGTGAACCCAGTAAATCCTGTTTTGGTGTCGTTTAGCTGCGTTTGCTTCAGAGAACATTGCCATTTTCTTCCCACAGACCTTGTAATCAACATTTGGTAAAAGAAACAAAGCAAAGAATAAGGAGAGACAGAATACTCCTCTGTGTCCCAGAAATGTCTATTTCAGCAGAAGAGCGGCTGTGATGCACCGCTGACACACCACAGGCAGGAAGACGTGGTTTGCTTTTCTGTAGCGTAACGGAGCGCTACAGGAAGATGTCACAGAAAATGAGCAGTGGCAGTCCCATGCTGAAGGTTTTCTGATGAATCTCTCCAGTTTCTACAGCCACAGAGATCTTTGTTTCTAATGGAAGAGTCTTTGTAGTCTGGTTCCACAGAGACGAGTGGAAATAGAGCCAAGGCCTACCTCTCACACGTGGGCTGGCGTTTTTTGAGGAAACGAACCTGTGTGGTAACAATTAACTCTGCTGGAAAAATCCTAATTCTGTTTCGTTTTGTTTTTGTTCCTTGATTTCCCCTTTCCTTCACCTGTTTGGTAGAAATCATACTTTGTTTCGAGGCTTGTGAGTGAATAATAAAACCTATAGTGGGTAAAGGAAGTATTCAGACCCCCATCAAATTTTCACTCTGTTATTTTGCAGCCATTTGCTAAAATTTATTTAATTCACTTGTTTCTTCATTAATGTATGCACAGCACCCCATGTTGACAAAAAACAAAACAGAATTTTAGAAATTAGAATTTCTGCAGATTAAAAAAAGACAAACTGAAATATCTCACGGTCCTAAACATTCAGACCAATATTTAGTGGAAGCACCCTTTGAGTTAATACAGCCACGAGTCTTCTTTGATTTGGGGATCCTCTGCCATTCCTCCTTGCAGATCCTCTCCAGTTCTCTCAGGTTGGATGGGGAACGTTGGTGGTCAGACATTTTTAGGTCTCTCCAGAGATTCAATTCAAGTTTATTTCTATAGCGCCAAATCACAACAAGAGTCGTCTCAAGGCACTTCACATGGTAAGTTGCTCAGTTGGGTTTAAGTCTGGCTGGGTTATTCTAGAACAGTCACAGAGATGCTGTGAAACCAGTCCTTGGTTGTTTTACCTGTGGGTTTAGGTTCATGGTCATGTTGGAAGGTGAACTTTCGTCTGATGTCCTGAGCACTCTGGAGAAGGTTCTTGTCCAGGATACGCCTGTACTTGGCTGCATTCCTTGTTCCTTCTATTGCAACCGGTCGTCCTGTCCCTGCAGCTGAAAAACACCCCACAGCATGATGCTGCCACTGCCATGCTTCACTGTGGGGACTGTATCGGACACGTGCTGAGCAGTGCCTGGTTTTCTCCACACATACAGCTTAGAATCAAGGCCAAAAAGTTCTATCTTGGTCTCATCAGACCCGAGAATCTCATCTCTCAAACTCCATGTGGGCTTTAATGTGTCATTCACTGAGGAGAGGCTTCCAACGGGCCACTCTGCCAGAAAGCCCTGACTGGTGGAGGGCTGCAGTGATGGGTGACTTTCTCCCATCTCTCTGGAGCTCAGCCACAGTGATCTTTGGGCTCTTTTTTTTACCTTTCTCACCAAGGCTCATCTGTCAATGTGGGGTACTGTGTGTGTACATAAATGAAGAAGAAATTAATTTAATTGATTTTAGCAAACAGCTGCAAAGTAACATGGCTTTGAATCCCTTCCATAAGCGCTGTGAGTGAGTCTAAGTTCATTTGTAAATAACATGTCTGCATCATTTCTCCTGGTTAATTTAGCTCTTCTGTCATTTAGACGTTTCTGATGTTGGCATTTTCAGGACCCCGTGGGTCATAATTATCTGACTCATCTTTAGAAGTTAAATACAATTTATTTTTTCAAAACCAGCAAAAAAATTAAAAAAGCATTTGTGTTTTGGAATAAAATAAGCTACAGCTTTCCATAATAAAGAATGAGGTTCTTTATCACCGTTTGTCATTTGTTGCTTCAGTCAGAATTCTCATAATAATAATAATAATAATAATAATCCAGAACATGTCCTTTAGAAGCCTGTCGTCTCAACCTTGTGATCAGCATGTTGAAACAGCGCACGGACATTATCTGTCAGATAAATAAACAGCAAAAATCCAATCCTCTGTAAAATTCCCACTGACAGGAAGAAATGACCTAAAGCTTTGATCAGCTATGAGTTTACAGGCAACAGAGCCAGGGATTCCAGGTGAACCGATGGGAACCATCATATTTAAAGTGAGCTGGGTTAGGGTTAACCCTAACCCTAACCCATCCGAGGTCTAAATGATCCCCTGGCCTTTCAAACTAAATTATTCAACTACAATAAAAGTTATTTTGATCTCAGTAGCTCCACATTTGAACCTCATGATGCCATTAAGGACCTGCTGTTGGCGTGTGTTTGCTGCCTATCCTTGCGTTCGTGAACTAAGTGAGCTTTTAGTGAAACTGGGCTGTATTTGAGATTACCCAGGAAAGAGAGGCTCTGGTCGAGGTCCTGGACCTGACCAGAGGTCAGGGGTGAGAGGACTTTACAGTCATTCCTTCTGGTGCTGTTTCTTGTCTTCCAGCACCTAAAGAGAAGCCGTGCTGCACTCTGCCCACAGTGAAGAAACTCTTGGAGCAGAAGAGAAGGCGTGAGACATCAGCTGTGCCGGCCCCCTGCTCCACCTCCAGCACCAGTCCTGCTCCTCCAACCACAGTCTCAGTAAGCAGGCTTACAGAGGCACTCAGCACCTGAACAGAATGCTGTAGCAAATCTTTAATTCTTTTATTTTGGTCTGTCACCAGGAGCCCTCTCCATCAGAGTCCTTTACCTGCACAGGTGAGAACTGTCTACTGCTTTGACTCAGAAAAACAAAAGAACAAACGAAGCATCCCGTGTCTGACAGACATCGCTGATTCATGTCTTTATTGTAGGTGCAGCAGTAAGTTACTCAGACATGGCAGTGAGTTATGAACACTGGGTCCCTGAATCTACACACGGTTTCTACGCCGGCACTCAAGGAACGAGCTACGCTGAAGACTTCAGCCTCCCACTGACGTCTGAATACAACACACAGCAGCAGCCAGTTTATGACAGAATGCCTCGGCCGTATGTAAGGAACCGTCTTTGTTCCGATCCATCCACTGCCTCACCGTGAGTTCCTGAGCCTGCTCTGATGTTTAACCAAGGACAAATGTGACCTTTTTGCACAGGACTGCTCCTTGGCTGTCACAGACCCCAGTATGGTTTCACCCTGGTCCCTTCTCAGCCCCAGTCAGTCCACACAGCTCAGCTTTGGTCCGAACATGGATGCTGGGAAGCTGGAGGAGGCCCGGATGCTGCTCAAAGGGATGGACTACAGCAGGGCCATCTGTCAGGATGAAGATGGAGACACGTGAGTTCTGAACACAAACTTAACAGAGCAGGAAAACAAGCTGAATGTTCACCACCGAAAATCCTACGTTTCTCATCGGACAAAGAGTTTTAATGGTAAATGGCCTTTTTTAATTAAACGCCATCTAGGGTTCTACAACTCTTTAAGGCACTATACAACACAACCAGACACACACACACACACACACACACACACACACACACACACACACACACACACACACACACACACACACACACACTGGTGGTGGTGATGATGATGAGCTACATTGTAGCCGCAGCTGCCCTGGGGCTGACTGACAGAGGCGAGGCTGGAACACCACCAGGCGAGGAGGGTGATGTGTCTTGCCCATGGACATGACAACTGCCACAGACTCAAACCTGCAGCCCTCTGGTTACGGGGCAGGCACTTCAGTCCTCGCCCACTTAAACTGACTTCTGTAGATTTTACGATGCTCATGCTTATAGATAAAGAAGAAAAAAATGTCGATCCGAGGCACTCATGCTTGTTTTTGGTCCGTCCACATAACCACAGCGTTTCAGACTGAAGTCATGCAAAGATTCACACTATAAGAACAAAATAGTGTGTGTGTGTGTTTTAATACAGCACACACACACATGCTCCTTCTGTACTTCTGAGGTGATGAATTGTTGAAATGTGTGTACATGAGCTGACTATTTATTTACTACCGTCGAGTTTCGTCTGCAGCTGAAAGCGAGACTCTGATGTGTAGTTTTGGTAATTTTAGAATGATTGAAACTAACGAAGCGTGCTGGTGAGTCAGACACAAAGTACCGAAGTAGAGGGGGAACATTGCTGTGATTATTCAGTCTCGTTCACAAGTCATTGTTGCTCGCGCAGCATCCTACACATCTACACCGCCAAAGGCCTCAGGGAGTGTGCGTACGCTGCTGCAGAGAAGCTGAGGGATGTTGGCGAGCTCGATGCCAGAGAGCACAAGGGAAAGGTACAAATCTTCACTATTACTTATAAAGACAAATGCGTGAACACCACTCTCATGGATGAATGTGCTCTGCAGACGGCTTTGTTGGTGGCAGTGACGGCGAACCAGCCCGAGATCGTCCAGGACCTGCTGTCGCTGGGGGCCGACATCAACGCCTGTGATTTTAAAGGACAGACTGCTCTTCACGTGGCTGCTCACTATGGATTCCCAGGTGTTCTGCAGGTAAACCTGCAGCAGCGTTGGATTACTGTAGACACAAAAACGTTACTCAGAGCTTTTCTTTCTGCTGCAGGCAGTTCTGTCTGGCAGGTCCATCAACTTGGAGGCCCGCAACTTTGAAGGTAATTTCACGTTTTGCCCTCATTTGGTGAAATGTAAATAAACTACGCTGCTAACGCAGTTCTGTGCTAAAGTCCCAGGTCACCTCGCTTTTCTCTGTTTGCATTCTGGCTTTCTTACAATCTTCCAGAGTGGTTTTTGTTAGAACACTCAAGTCTTTGACCTCTTTCAGGTTGTTTCCTTGTTCAGTTGGAATGTTTCTGTAAGCCACCGAACTTCCACCTGTGACTCGTTCACCATAACCGTTCTAAATGGGATCTTTAGGACCTTTATTACAGAGGGCCTGTTTTCAGAACAACTGGTTTCTCCCAAAGGAAACTCAAGGTTTAGGCTAGTGACTGCAGGATGATTCATCTCTGGTCCTGTCTCGGGTCTGATGGATTTTATTCTTTTTAATGAAAACTTTCTTTCTTTCAGATACGCTTCATCCGCCGTAAAAAAGTATTTATTGACCTGACATTTCTTTATTCCTCTAATGGTCACGGTCCACCTGAAAAAACAAGGACACAGATTTAAGACAACCTCAGATAAAAAAGGAAGTTTGGCTGCGTGACACTTGAGCGTGAAGATGCCAGGGGCGGTGCTAAACTTTTGCACCACTCTCCGTTTCTGTGCTCACTAACTGAAACGTGACACGAGCCTCCCCTCTTCTCTTCAGGGATGACTCCTCTCCATTGTGCAGCCATCTCCCACAGCATCAGCGTGAAAGCTCTGTCTGCCTCCAGGCCGGCAGATGTTCACCTCCAGGCCAAAGCTGCTGAGAAGCTGTCGTGCGTACAGATGCTGCTCAGCTCAGGAGCGTCTCCCAGCAGCCAGGTACAGGTCCTCGACAGAGGGGGAGCCTCTCAGCTCGCCAAACCCAGCTAAGCAGGAAGTGTTGCTTTTGTGTAGTTGTGGTGACATCATACGTTCTCTCGCTACCTTCCCTGGCTTTAAATGCCATGCTAACTGCCCCCCGCCCGATTCTCACACTCTAGGAAATCAAAAGCAACAAGACCGTGCTGCATTTGGCCGTCAAGGAGGGGAACATCGACTTGGTGCGTTACCTGCTACGCGTTCCCCTGCCCAACATGAAAGACTTTGTCAACATGAAAGTGAGTCCCGCCCTGACGCGGAAACTCACAACTCTACTTTCTAAATGTGTGTGTGTGAGACGTACATTAAACGGTCATGCTGCACGTGCATCTTTTCTAATGCTTCCAGGCTCACGGTCACACAGCGCTGCACATGGCCGCCGGTCTCCATGGTAACCCCCACCAGGAGGAGATCCTGCAGCTCCTCCTGAGCAAAGGAGCCGATCCCAGCATCCGCAACCTGGAGAACGACCAGCCGGCTCACCTGCTGCAGAGCGGTCTGCAGGGAGAGCAGGTACGCCTTCGCCTGGCTTCGTTGCGTCGCGCCGTTTCTCTCTGCATCCCGACTAACTCGCTCTCGCTTTCACTTCCAGCTCAAGCTTATGTTGAAGAAACGAAGCGCTTCTTCACGTCGACGAATTCTGTCCTTGCAGGACCAGGAATGATTTCAGACCACTTGTAATCCTCGTTAGGAAGGAAAGAGTCTAAGGCGATTCCTCTGTTAGGAGGACAGATGTCTTATTAGGAGACACTGGGAGTCTGGCCTACGTGTGGACAGTAAAACTGCTTCAGCCTTCATTCGGTTTACATTTGAAACAAACCCAGACTTGATTTAATGTTCAGTGCTATATTTATTTTTCTAAACATTTTTTCTCTCCGTTTTAGCTAAATAAACCTAAAAATATAAAAAAAAGTGTTTGAAACGACAATTTCAAACATCTAATTAGAAACTTTTATGGAGTTTATTTATGTTGTGAAGAAATGAAGGCAAGTTTTCCTTTTCCCAGCAGGCTAACCTCCCAGTTAATGGTTGATTTCTATGAAATCGTTTGAATCTGCCTGAAAGTCCTCGGTGGTATCATAGTGATACTCTGGTGTTCCATCAGCACGCGTCTTTTAAACATGTTTAAATGTTCATCTGTACGCGTCATACGTGTGTGTGTGTGTTTGACATCAGGTGCAATTCTCTTTGTGGGGGAAAAAGAAGCTTTACTATGTAAAACTTCAGGTTTTTTATTATGACAAAGATGTCGTTTGTCATCAGCCAGATTCTGATTCACTGTGCATTTCACCGATGAGTCACGAGTAAAAGTACATCAACACTGTTCCGTCAGACGCTTTTGAACAGTCCCAGCTACGTTTGGTGAGACAGGTGGAAAACACACCGCCCCACCTGAACGCCTGTCTGGCTGTTCACACTCGCCATGAAGGAGCGTTCACGTTTCAGACCCGTGTGTTCACCCACTTCTTCCTGACTCGACCACGAAGCTTCCTCCGAAACGACCAGACGTGATCCAGTTTCTCTTCAGCAGATAAAGAAAAATAAAAGATTAAGCTCTCGGGAAATCACAAGATTGTGTTTATTTAAATGCTTCTTATTTTCTGTACCGATGTTTAACCTGATGAGCAGTGTAGCCTCGTTCTGGAGGCTCGGAGCTTGTGTCTGTGTTGCCTTTTTGATGAAGCGATGTGAACACCCAACGCATTAGTCTCTCGTTTCAGTTGTTTGTCATGTTTTATTTATTATCATGCTAAGCTATTTTTAAAGAACAACAAGCCACATGAACGTTTTCTCTTTTATACGTGATGACGTCATTAATTCAAACTGGACACATTTATCCTTTATAATCATGCTGTCAGTTTTATTGTTTCTCTGGAGTAAAATACTTGTAAGACAAACCAGGTGTGTTGTTTTGTTTGACCAGGTGCACGTTATAAAGTCTCACTGGTGGGAAAAGTTTTAAATTAAAGAAGTTTTATTACAATTGACGTTGGAAACCCTGTTTATGGACCACTCAGCTACCAGAGTTCCAGAACATGAGCCTAAATGGTGTTTGCACCAAACTGAAGATGTGGTCTTGGTTTGCGCTCGTGGATCTCGTCTCAGCGTTCCTCTCTTCCAGACGTTTTCTACACAGCTGGAGGAGGAACTGTGGATAAGAAGTGAGAATTACTGACAGAATCACAAACGTCGGATTTAAACGACTGACTTGGGGAGAAACGTACCTTCTGTTTTAGGAATTTGGGTGCCAGAAGAGCTGGAACCTCTGTGATGGGAAACAAAACATAATTAGTGCATCGTTATGTATATTTTTAGTAGCTGACCACGTTTTCAGCTAATTGTGTGTGTAAACTGAAAACTGTGGCAACAACTCAAACTTAACCAAGAGTTTCTGTTATCAGAGTCAGAAAATTAGTTGAAGCCACAGGCTTCTAGTTTGTGGTGCTTAAAAATCTGCCAACATTATTTAGTTATTAGTTGCTTCAACATCAGCAAATCATCAGATTTTCACTCATTTTCCAAAAGTAGATGAACTGAGTCAGTAAAAGAAAATGACATAAATAGGAATTTTCTAGTAAAACTTTACAAAAAGGATCACTTTATTAATGTTACTTAATGTATTATTAAGCATTAATAAACCAAGGGTCCCTTTATTAACCATTATTGTTTATTATTAAGTGTCCTTAACAAGACAATGTGTAGTTTTTGTCGTTAAGCTCTGGAAATATCCACTAAAATATTGTTGAAAATTATTCTGATGTCTTCCTAACACAACCATGAAAATCGTGTCTAAATTACACGAGAGCAGGTCCAAGTCTCTGGGCAACGCAATACTACGGTAGTCCGTGAGGACAAAATGCATTTACTGATTTGTAACAAACGATAACTAAACTTCCTTCAGTCAGAAATGTTTTACACATTTACCTCGTCGCTCGTCGACAGTAATGAAAGGGAGTCTGATGTGTTTGTCACCTTGCTGGAGGTTGTGCTCGGACCCTAATGACCTTCAGTTGGTACGATCCAACCAACCACCGCTTGTTTACAATGATCTAGGTGTACTGCCCCCTATCGCCAGGGAAAATACATGTAATGTACCAATGGCCAGTTTTCATCAACACAATGACCAGAAGTTAACTTTCATTTGCAGACACAAACACACCACCTGTCTGGCCCACAACACCGTCTCTTTAAGGTTAGGACAAAGGGCAAAGGTGGGGGTCTGCTTAGTAATGTATTACATTATACGGTTAAGCATTTGTTAATACTTTATTTAATAGCTTATTAATGCTTAATAATGCAGTAAGTTACATTTCACTGACAATGCGTACTTTTTACCATTAATCTCTGGAAATATCCGTTGAAATGTAGTTAATGAATTAAAAGATACTCAGTTGTTGAAAAACATTGGCGGTTTCATAACATACAACCATAAAAATCTAAAATGCATGGGAACGGGTCTAAGTCTCTGGGCGACGCCATATTGGATGCCATGTTTCCTTCTATGGAGGCCCGTGAGGACAGAATGCATTTACTGGTTTGTAACAAACATGTTCTTTTACACATTTACCTCTTCGCTCATTGCAGAGATGAAAGGGAGTCTGCTGGAGGGTGCACTCCCAAGGACTTTTGACCCTAATGGCCATCTGTGGGTATGGTCTTACTTGAAGACAAAAATAATGCTTGCTTGCAAGGATTTAGGTATCTACTGCCCCCTGTCGCCAGGGAAAATACACACTGTCACTTTAATAAAGGTACCCTTAGTGTAAAGTATTACCCTTTCTTCTGCTCAGGAAATGGATCTAATGTTCAGTCTGTCAACAACACGAGGATCTGAATCCTAACTGTCAGTTTTTAACGTAACATCTAATAGTTTTCAGTAACATCTGGTCAGGTCTGCAGCAGGAAGTCACGCTTCACACTGATCTGAGACGCTGGTTGTTTCACCTCAGCCAGTTAAGGTCAGATGAATCTCTTTTTCGTAGAATAAACTCATTTTGGACAAACATAGTAGTTGTAACTGATGTCTAATAAGAGTGTAACAGAACATTAACCCACACCAGTTATTTAGTGGCTGATCTAAAATGGGCAGAATAGCTATTTATTAAATTCACTTTTATTTTGAAGTTCTGCTGACAGCGTGTTGTTTAGCCTAAATATTAGCAGACACAGTAGCAGATTGGTGGTTTGGGCGAGTCTTTGTTTTTTACGTAGAGTTTTAAGTGTTCCCTCATCAAAGAGGGTTTTAGTTTAATACTAGCGAGGCCAGACTTTCCCAGAATGCACTCTGGTCCGTAAAGTACTTCTAAAAACTCAGATACTCACACAGAGCCATCAACAAGTGCTATGCATTACTTTCTGCTTAGAAACCCATGAGCTCAGGTAAGACTCAGATTTTGGAAAATAAATCTTTTTTTTTCTGTTATCTAGTCGAACTACATCTGTTGCTCTGAATGATTGTTTTTCTTCTACATGTTTGCTGAGATCGACTTCATGCATGTCATCTTGTTTTAGACTGCCTGGTATTGTTCACAATTTCTAGTTGGTGGCCAGTCCCAGTACAGCACAGCACTTAAACCGCAGGACCTCTGTGTTTCACGTGGAGTTTCTACGCTGAGTTTGATGGTTTTCCTTCCTCCAAATATTACATTTTCCACTCCTACTTCCTGTTTGATGTCACCATCTATTACAATTCTGGAGTGAAAATAAAAATATGCTGCAGTATTTTTGAGTCCTACATATTCAGATGAACTAATCAGTTTTCTTCTTTACCGGATCTCCTTGCTGAGCTAATTTTAGCCCAATTTAGACTTTAGTCTTACTTCTCTAAAATGTTCCCCTCCATCTACTTTTAGCTGACATTTGTAAATCTGATGATGTTTCTCGTCCTTTTTTACCCATGAATTAAGAAAATGCAAAAGTCAGCAAACCTTTAAGCAGCACCGCACCACCACCAGATCAACATTTTGAGCTGTTAGACATTAAATCGTATCTTTCGTCTTGTTTTGCCATTCAAGCAACATGCGATCAGCTGAGACTGCTCATTCACTACCAGCACATACACTCTGGGTTTAAGTGCATAAACGTTAACAAGACCAAGCACTGGAATGTGTTGGAAGTGTGTTTTAGTTGAAGTGAACAGAACAGGGAAAGGGTCTTGGAGAAGCTGCATCCACGGAAATTAAAACCACGAGAAAAGTTCACTTGGAATATTTTTTGATGAAAGAGGAAATTTCAACCCCCTGCAGTGATTGTGTAATCAGTTCAACGTCATACAACATGCATGTCACCAGATCTTGCACAGTTCTTACTTGGATGAGGATTTTACACATTTTGTGAATTTTTTACCTGTTTGGGGGAGTGACAGATAAGTTACAAAGAAATCTCACGTATTGGTGCTGCAGCCTGAATATGACTGAGATGTAAAAAGTAAAGAACATTGAAACTTACTCAGGGCTATCAAAATGCCGGAGACAAACATAATGACGGCAAGGATAACCCCTGTGGTCCTCAAAGTCTCGTAATCTACAACAGACAAAACATGTGACTTAACTAAACCGACCTATCGGACTTCTGCTGCAGTCAACATGACAAAACTCAGTGTGCTGAACAGAGTCTACTGATCCCAGAAACAGGAGCTGAAAGTGTTCAGATCTCACCATAATCAAAGTCACTTTGGTCTGGAAACATTGATTCTGCAACGACAAAGATGAGGTAATGTCAGCTTAGGGTGTGTTTTCTGATTTCCACAGATCTGCAGACTGGAAACCAGCACCTTTCTTTTTTTTTTTGCAACCAAAAGGAGCTCAGTGCTGCATCTTCACTCAGCAGAAAAAAAATTTGGTTACGGGCCAACGGCAGCAGTGGCAGAAAGGAGGTTGGGTTGGCTTAGATAGGAGAAAAGTACACGGAGTACAAGAATCTTTACAGTTTCACTCATTTTGCTAAAAGGCTGCAGCTTGTCCCAGATGACTGAGCTTTGGACATCAGTGATGCAACCAAGCTGAAGAATCAGTCTCCAGTAGGTAGAAATTACATTTCTCCTTCATGTGAACAAAGTAAAAAATTTCCTGACGAATTGTAGTTGCCGACACTGATCCGTTACATCAGCACTTTAACCGGCTTCTAGCCAGAGTGCTGACAAACCCTCCACATGCACATGCTGAGAAAACAGCTGAATCATCTGTCCAGATTCACTTTCACCAACACATAAATGCACAGATATAAAATTAAATAAAAAACATTTAATTTAATTTTAACTGGCTATTAAAGATTTCATAAAAATGAAAGAAAAATGAAGAACTGAACCTGAGGTGGCCATGGCTGCGCTGCAGGGATCCTGAGGAGCTTGGTCTCCTGGAAATTATTTTCAAGTTGCTGGGTTGCAGTTAAAGCCTGGATGAGAATGGAGAAAGTGGAAAGTGCAGCAGGCAGAAGTGCTTAGTGTGCCTTCGGAATGAGCTCAGCAGGCTCTCCCTGCTGGTCATTATGGAGCACTGCACACAATGTAGCTGTTGGTGCAACCAGAGCAGGAGCAGGATTCAGACAGGAAAGCATTTTATCTTATCAAGAAGTTAACATAACAAAGAATCAATAGTTCCTGACGCACCGAGGATAGTCTTTAGGGAACAGTTGCTTCATTAGAATAGCTTTGACGCCAAAACTCCTTAAAGAGTCTTGAATCTTGCTGGGACAAAAAGACCCCAGTGCTAATTGATTATTTATTTCAGTAGTGCAGCCCCAGCCAGAGGGAGAGCAGACCACACCTGCAGCCTTAAACTGACCACTTACTGCTGAAATCACAAAAAGGGTTTACCAGCACAGAAAGAACTTTTCTGGAAGGAATTACCTGTTTGTTTTATAGTGTCTGCATAATGCAGCACAGCGGTGCATCCCCGCTCTCACTGCTGCTAGTTACTACTGCATGTGTAAGTGAACCGCCCTGCAGTGTCAGCAGAAATCCGAGTGCACCATCACAGAAGGCTGCGTTCACAACTAAAAATGACAATAAGAAAAACACAAACAAAACAAGATAATATTTCTCTGGTCAAACATTTGCTTTATTGTTTGGCATCCTTTATGTGATTGTGGCAAAAATACAAATAATCAAACCACAGCTGCTTGATTAAAGATGAAACCCTCTCCAGACAGTGGCTGACGATAAAAACATTAAAAACCAAGAAAAACAAAGAGGATCAGCAACATCAGGACATTTAAGAAAGACCCTTATGTTGCGTCAACACTGCTGTCATGGAGGTGTTTGCTGCCACCTAGTGGGGACAGTCCAGAAGTGTAGAAAACACTCAGGCTTCCTTCTGCATCTCCTTTTACAAACAGATGACTGAAGCATCTGCTAAGCTGTAAAACGTTTAAGATTTGTTTAACAAACAGATATTTCACAAACCTTTATAGAAATTTAAAAAACAAAGCAGTTATTTACCTCTCTAGACACCTGATTGAACATTGGGTCCCCTGGATCTGGAAAAAAAACCCAGCTTGGTTAAGAAAAATACAAAGAGGGGCCAAAATGAAATTATGAATATGAATAAAAACTAAGATGAAGATTTTTGTGTGCCGGTAACTTACCTTGAGTTGTTCTTTGAACAGGTGCACTTTCGGCCTGGTTTGGGACAGAAGCACAAGAAACATGATTTTTAAATAACGATCAAATATGAGTCTACGTTGGGGTGTCCCACAAGGTTCAATTCTCGGCCCGTTACTGTTCAACCTCTATATACTGCCCTTAGGAGCCATTTTCAGAAAGCACGCTGTCTCATACCATCTTTACGCTGACGACTGTCAAATCTACTTTTCATTTAAGCCAACTCAGTCAACGCAAGTTCTGTCTGATTGTATCCTTGAGGTCAAGCAATGGCTAGCTGATAACTTCCTCCATCTCAATGACTCCAAAACTGACTTAATCGTTTTCAGTCCTAACAGTATCACGGCAACTCAACAACCTGACCTCAACTATCTCTCACCTAATGTATCCTCTGTAATCTCCAACCTTGGAGTAAAAATGGACCAGGCTCTGAAGATGGATGCCCAGGTCAATAACACAGTTAAATCATGTTTTTACCAACTAAGACGCATCTCAAAACTAAAGCACATCCTGAGTGTACGTCTTCTGAAATCGGTGGTCCACACTTTTATCACCTCAAGGCTGGATTACTCCAACTCCTGCTTATATGGCATCAGTAAAGCAGCTCTTTCTAGACTTCAGCTGGTCCAGAATTCAGCAGCTAGGTTGCTGACTGGAGCTGACAGAAGACAACACATTTCTCCAATTCTGAAATCTCTCCACTGGTTGCCCGTGCAGTTCAGGATAAACTTCAAAATTATGCTTCTCACTTACAAATCCTTGAACCATCAAGCTCCTCCATATCTGTGTGAACTTGTCCATTACTACAACCCGCCGCGTGCTCTCAGGTCTGAAGATAAGCTCCTCCTAGCTGTTCCCAATGCACGTTTAAAAAGCCGTGGAGAGAGGGCTTTCTCTGTCTGTGCACCAAAGCTGTGGAACGCATTACCACTGCTAGTGAGGCTAGCACCAACAGCTAGCATTTTTAAATCACGCCTGAAAACTCACTACTTCAACCTAGCTTATACAACATAATTATGAACCTCACTGACATCTGCACTGTTTATAAACTGACTCCACAATTATCGACTTCCGTATTATTTGAGGTTCTTTGTAAAATGTTTTTTCCTATTTTTACTTCACCCTGTGTCTTATTGATTTTTAGCTGTTATTTTTGGGAATTTTGTTGTATTTCCTTTTTATCTTTTATCTGTGTTCGACATGTTTATATAACGCCTGTTTAATTAACCAACATTTTTAGTGTACAGCGCCTTGTTTGGTTGTAATGCCTTGTGAATGCGCTTTATAAATAAAATTGTATTGGATTGGAGCCTGGATACTAGAGGTGGGAAAAATGATCGATTCTAAGATGCATCACGATTCAGCCGTGCACGATTCCGCATCGATGCAGCAACGTGACATAATGAGATTCTCTCCCTATGTCTATGTCGGGGGTCGGCAACCGCGGCTCTGGAGCCGCATGCGGCTCTTCCATCCATCTGATGCGGCTCTCTGTTTGTAAAATAATGAATGGATATTTAAATAAAATGCTTTATATTTTACTGCATTAATTTTACATCTGTATGCCAATTCTAAATGTAAAGATTGTCTGCGTAAACCTGAACAGCTCCAACCCGGTCTTACTGTGAGACCGGGTTGACGCGTCACGCTTGTGCGTAATCATAAAGGCGCATTCTGAGCTGACGAGGACGTGAGATTCTGGGATTCTCCTCAGCTCCTGGATGTGTCGCCACATTGGAGACAGGAACAAGCGCTATTCAGCCAAAGTTTCATAATCAGGGAACATTTTCTAAGTGACAAGTCTCGCTTCAGTCGGAGGAATCTTCCTGCGCTTTGGTTCTGCGACGTGCTCCAAGCCCCTCTCCACTTCTTCAGCTCACTGTGCTCCGTACGTACGCGCTGACAGCGAGTTGCGCTGAGCTCCGTGTCAAGCTCAGATGGGAATCATTTCTTAAGTGATTTAGCTACATCTGCGCGAAACGAATAAAGTGTCAGTTCGTCTGCATGCGTCGGGGTAATTCTTTCTCCGTCAAAATAAACGGTTAAATACGGGAACTATCAGGTCAACACAAGCCCTGCTTTTAACTGTTCTGTTTTCTTGTGAAAATTGTTGCAAAGAGATATAATTAAACTTGATTAACACCAGAGCCAGGCGCACTGCACCGTTGTCTCCGTCACTGTAAATGAGGGAAAAACAAATTGATCGGATCCTTTTCTGACCTTCCCCACCTACAAAGTTTAACTACAACAATCAAACGTGACAGAGCCTGGATTTGTATTCTGAACAGTCTAAACATGTTTTAAAAAGAAACGTATGACAAAAGTGGCACCTGCTCAGTAAAACCACCAACAGGGTGAAAAATATCTAAATATTGTCGGCAGAGACGGGCTACAACTTCTGGATCCACTTTATATAAATCGTTTATTGATTATCGTCTTATGAAAGATAACTCTGATGTACACGAGCGACCGGTACTGGCTGCTGTCACCTGTTGTGAGCCAACACATTAGAGCTCTGCTGTCTGAGGGTAGGCCCCGCCCACAACGCCGCGGCTGCTGCGGTGTTTTCTTTACTGTGGGAAACGGGTAATAATGTCTCTTTGATGGGAACAGGTTGCCGACCCCTGGTCTTTGTCTATGCAGGACAATAAAGTTTTGAGGTTTTATAATTACTTCTGGGGGCAGAGTTACAATGACATGCACACTGCATTGCCCTAGCGCCAATTTAAAACAGAAAAGGCGGACAGGGATACAGGGCCAACATTACCAGTAATCAAAGATGTACCCGTTACATTTAAATCGGATGTCTGGGCTAATTTCGGTTTTGGGATCCTGGATGTGAAAGAATCACTTAACACAGTATTTGTTTACTATTTTTAAGTTCAGTAATATTCTATCTTAAAGCTGCTCTACCGAAAACATTATTTCTTGAATTATTTAAGTAATTATAGGCAGCACACTTTAAACATTATTGCTCACTATAGTGAATAGATGAATGTTCTGTTTTTCAGGGATTTCTAAATCAAAAAGAAATTGAAAACTATTCTACTGCTTTTATTAAGTAATGAAAATTTTTGTGTGAAGAATCGTGATGCATTTCAGACTCAAATCGAATCGTTAGGCAGATAATCGGAATCGGATCGAATCGTGAGGCAGGTAGAGATGCACACCACTACTGGATACCACTTCAGTTTTTGATCAAGAAGCGGCCAACCTGGAGAGGTTTAACAGGCTTAACTTGTAAAAAACAATCATTCATTTACTTTATCCTGATAGTTCAGATTAGGGATCGACCAAAGCTGGTTTTTATACGGATCCTGATGAGGTCACGGTCAACCAATGGCAGAGTTTCAGATGTTTTCTACCTCGTCTGCCTGCTAACGACTAATAACAGTTGATGCACAACTTTTCTGAACCGATCGATTTTTTAAAAGGTGAATTTAACACAACTGTTATTAAAATCAAAGATTTAACCAAAGTTCATCGAACAGTAATGAACTGACCAAGTATTTAAAATAAAACTAGTAAATAAAAACAATGGTGATGATAATAACATTTATTAAGATGTTTTAATTAAACTTGGCAGCAGCTCCGGGCTGTCTGTGGAGGTGTCTGACGGGAAACTTGGTTTTAGAGGTGGCGAGCGCATGAAGAGGTGAAGGAGAACGAGGGACACATTTGTCAAAACGAATGGCTTAAAGAAAATAATAAAAATATTTAAACTCATATTCAGGGGCGCAGATAGGATTTTCAAACTGGGGGGAACAAAGTTCCAATGTACCCTCCCCCAAACACACACACACACACACACACACACACACACACACACACACACACACACACACACACACACACACACACACACACACACACACACACACACACACACACACACACACACACACACACACACACACACACATACACAAACTATTGCAAGAGCCTTAACTAGAGCTCAGTCAGTTAGTGTAATTTCATCTAGCGGTTTACGTAAAAATTAACATTTATATACGTGTTTGAAGCCATTATGCAGGGGAACGCTGGCAGCAAAGCTCTGCCTGATCAACACTATACATAATAAATGATCCGCATAGCGCCTCTCAGAGTAAGTACTTCAAAGTGCTTTACACTACAGTGTATCATTCATCCACTCACACACATTCACACACTGATGGTGATGAGCTACGATGTAGCCACAGCTGCCCTGTCATTTGTTATTCTTCCAATCAATTACTAACCAAAACCTCATGCTTTATGCAAAACATTAAATGATTTTCAGCATACCAATCTTTACAGAAAACATAAAAGCCCTAAAAAACTGCACATAAAATATATTTAAATAACAATATTCACTTATCACTTAGAGCAGTGGTTCCCAAACTTTTCAGCCTGACCAACAGATGTTCCTTCGTATTTCTACGTTATTTAGAAATTTTCATTATATTTGGAAAGTTTTAATTTATATATACATATATAAATCTCTTTTTAATTTTATATTTAACTTTTTTTATGATTATGTGGCACACTTGACTTCCAAATATACCGCATCGGCATCTGCCTCATTTTAACGGCGTTTTTTTTTTTACATTGTCGCTACGTCTGTCACGTTAGCTGTGTTTTACCATCATTTCTACATCCATCACGTCCCAGAGAAGGCTAAACCAACATCAAACCCAGCGTTTGGAGCTTGTAAACTCCACACACCTCTCGTGCAGCACCAGCTGTCTGATGCTGCAGCAGCGTCAATCGTCCCGGCTGGATGAGTGAATTTCTTCATCAGAGTAAATATTCTGCTTCATAATCATAGTCAGTCATTAGCAGACAAAGTGATCAGTCAACAAAGACCAGAACTGCCGGCAATTATACGTTTTATCTAATATTTGCGCTCTTCATGTTGCACACATCTCCTCCTCTCCCCGACTGGGAGCCTCACGGAGGGAGGCGATTTTTAAGCTCTAAAAACTCCCAAACTTTGCTCAGCCTGAAGGTTCCACATCTCCACTATCTTCTGGTGTAAAGTAGAAACTTCATGAGGGATCATGTTTGTAGATGAGACTTGTTAAAGTCAGCAATGAGGCTTTGGCGCTTTTAACGAGTAAGTCCCAACGCTGACAACGTACTGAAACTAGAACCAACATGCATGAACAGACAGATCGGTCCCGCCTACTTACACTGTTGGTCTTTTTAAATACGCAGTAATCGTTGTCTTTTTCGCTTCATCCTGCATCCTAGCAGCAACTCCTTTGGCGCCTTTGGAGTCGGTGTTTGTTTACGTCATGCTGCATTCAGTGTAATTGGAAAAAGGAGCTTCAAGCGCTTAACCTCAGATTTTGTTTTTTTTCTGGCCATAGTTGGGGGGGACGGATCGGGGTCGATCATAATCTGGGGGGGGGGGGGGGGGGGGGAGAGAACGGACGGACGGATCCCCCTCTCCTCCACCCTATCTGCGCACCTGCTCATATTTGATTCGTGCACAATTCAAACACAAACTGGGTACCTGGTCGGGGTGGAGGCCTAGCTATTGTTTTCAAAGACCATCTTCCATGTAGCTCTACAGCCTCTGGTTGCTTTGCTTCTACTGAACTGCACCTGGTCCAACAGTTAGTTCCTTCAGGAGTTCAGTGACTTTTTATGATCCACTGTGAAGCTGTCCAGACTGGTGATTGTTGGTGATTTTAACATCCACGTTGATGATGTCTCAGACCACTTTGCCATGAGCCTCTCATGGACTCCTTCAGCTTTACCCAGCATGTTTCTGGCCACACACAAGTGCAACACTCTTCTTAGGGTCTTTAATGACCTTCTGACCCACAGTGATACAGATGACTGTTCTGTTCTGGTCCTGCTGGACCTGACTGCAGCCTTTGACCCTGTTGACCATCACTTGCTACTGGAGAGGCTGAGAGACTGGGTAGGCCTACCAGGAACAGCTCTGGAGTGGTTCTCCTCAGATCTGTCTGAGCGTTCCTTCTGTGGCCGTCTCCATGTTTCGGTCGTCCACCACCTCCCTCACTCATGGTGTCCCACAAGGTTCTGCGCTGGGGCCTCTGCTCTTCCTCTTCAGCACATCCTGAGCTCCTTCAAAGGAATCTCCTATCAAAACCTGGATGGCTGGGAGCTTTCTACAGCTGAATGAAGATAAGACTGAGATCCTCATCTGTGCCCCAGACAAGCTGGTTCCCAAAGTCAGAGACTCTTTTGGTCAGCTTGCTTCTCACACCAAACCCTCTGTCAGGAATCTTGGTGTGACCTTTGACCCAGCTCTCACCCTGGATTCTCATGCCAGTTCTCTTGTTCGCTCTTCCTTCTTCCATCTCAGGAACGTTGCTAAGCGGAGTCCCATTCTGTCCCACTCTGAACTTGAGACAGTTCTCCACACCTTCATCTCCTCACGCTTAGACTACTGTAACTCTCTTTTCACGTGTCTGAGCAGAACCTCCCTGAACCGTCTACAGGTGGTTCAGAACGCCTGTGCTTGGCTTCTGACCAAGTCCTCCAAACACACCCACATCACCCCGCTTCTCCTCCAGCTTCACTGGCTGCCAGTCAACTTCAGGGTTCATTTCAAGATCCTGGTTCTGGTCTATAGGGCCTTACATGGACAAGCACCATCTTACATTGGTGATCTTCTTAGTCCTTACACCCCCAGCAGGTCCCTGAGGTCCAGTGATCAAAGCCTACTGGTTGTGCAGCACCAGGCTAAAGGTCAAAGGTGACAGATCATTTGCTGCTGTGGCCCCCAGACTCTGGACCTCTCTCCCCCTGAGCCTGAGGTCTGTGGACTCAGTGGTCTCCTTTAAAAAGCAGCTGAAGACTCACCTGTTCTGGCTTTGGTGTGACCTTCATCACCCTCTCCTTATTCTGCTCTTTCTACTTATTTCGCCTTTCACGGATCCACTGATTTCCCTCTTTCTTAATCATTTTCTCTCTCCCTTTCCTTACGTTTTATAATCAGTTTTTTTAATCATTTTTATATTTAATATTTTTTACATTTACATTTTTGTTCTTGTGAAGTGCCGTGTGATTTTTATCATGAGAGGAGCTATATATAAGATCATTATTTTGCTTTACCATTTAGTCTCTTTGGTGTAGCCTTTAAAACTCATTGATTTTACATATCGACTCCTAGATTTCCTCATTTTTATAGCTTTAAACTCAAAAACCTGTCAGTCTTTTTATTTTGGAATAAATAAAAACCTCTCTTCTTTCTTTACATGTTTGTAATCATTCATTTATATTCCTTACAACCCATAAAATTATTCTGCCTCATGATGAAAGTGTAATGTTTTAAATCTTCCTGCAGCATTCAAACAGAAGCAGATAGAAACAGAGTGGGAGATTCCCACTGAATTATTAATGGCTTAGTTCCAGTTTCAGGAATACGACCGGCAGAAGCAGCACTCTGAGCCGGCGGGTGGGAGCAGAAACTTTTGAAGGACACTGGGAGGTAATCTGAGGATGAGTTGAGAGTCCAACCGGGCCTGTGGGAGGATCCGTGGGCCGTGGGGGATTGGGGGGGGGGGTTCAACACCCACACTTTTCCAGCCGTTTTGCTCACCTCTACACCAGTCTGGTTTCTCTACGTCACACTCACTCTGCTTTCCTCATCTCCTTCTTCCCCTCCCTCTCCTGTTTCTCCTGGAAACCCGACAGCCGATGTCGGGTTTCCAGGAGAGCAGGAGAGGGAGGGACGGAAGAGCTCGACTGAATTCATAATTTTACATCTTGACATTAGCTGTACAAAGTCTGAGTTTGATAAAGTGAAGAACAACCATTTGCAGAGGTTTATAACAGGCGCGGCGCCAGGTTTTCATTTTTGGGTGGGCCACGGTCATTCTGGACGGACCTTAATAAGCAGTGACTTGGTGAAGCAGGCAGGTCGCGCTAGAAAATTTAGTTTAAAAAGACGTCATAAATGTGTTCCCCGTCATTTTCATTCTAAAATATGAAGTAAAAACTCACAATTTAATTTTCATTTATAGGCACCAGAATGCATTACCTACACTTCTAATATTTACTTCTCAGCGTAGGACTCTTTCATAAGGGTACATGCACACTGGTAGGTTTTACGGTTATTCATGGGGCAAAATCTCCGACATTTTTGAAAAAAAAAATCCATCTTAGTAAAAGCAAAGCATCCAGCCCACCTCTCTAAATGCGTAAAATGTGCATCACAGCCGCTAGGCGCGCCGCGCGCACCGTCAGCTGATTGGCCCAGACAAGAGCAGAGCAAATAGAGAAAGAATAGAGGATAATTGTGTCTGGATGTGGATGGAGATTACATTTTACATCAGCCTGATCATCATTTAAATACGTAAACCATCACCTGTCTTCTAGTCCACGCTATCAGCATTATTTTAATTGGTGTGTGTGTGTGTGTGTGTGTGTGTGTGTGTGTGTGTGTTTTCCACTTCAAACACTGGTCTAACCAACCAGACCAGCGTGTCCAGTAACATATTAATGTTACAATTAAACAGTTTCACTTCATGTAGGCTAGGAACGTTTCACCTGCTGTGGCCCGACCGCTTCTGCTCCACATAAACTTTGTGCGTAATCAAATGTCTCTACAGGTGCTTTCTGAGCTGATGAGGCTATTCTGCCTCAGACTGGATGTGCCATGCGTCTCCGTATTAGAGACGGGAACAAGCGCTATTCAGCCAAGTTTCATAATTAGAGAACATTTTTCCAAGTGACACATCCCTCAGAGAGACCGGGTTTCCAGACCGCTTCAGTGGGAGGAAATCTTTCCGCATGCGTCGTGGTTCTGCGCTGCACTGCGAACCCCTCTACAGATCTTCAGCCCACTGTCCACCATGAGCGCTCCGGTCCGCGCTGAGCACGTGTCCATTATAAAGCTCTGATGTTCTGATGGGAATCATTTCTTGATTGATTTAGTTACCTCCGCGATGTGCATAACGATTAAAATGTCAGCTCATCTGTGTGTGCATCAGTGTGCGTCGGGGTAATTCTTTCAAAACAACCAACATCCTTGAGTTTATCCGTCAAAATAAAAGTCAAATGGAAATATCTGTAACCTGCCATTTAACTGTTTTGCCTTCTTGTGAAGATTGTTGCAAAGAGAAACAACTAAACGTGATTAACCCCAGAGCCACGCGCACGGCGCTGTACTCCTGACTGTAAATGAGGGGAAACGATTTAATCGGATCCTTTTCTTTTCAACATGGTTTAATGTAAAGTTTCATTCAGTACAAACTTTAGTTACACCGATCTAACGAGACAGAGCCTGGATTTGTATTCTGAACAGTTTAAACGTGTTTAAGATGGAGACATGCGTGACGCGTCTAAAATCCGCGCCTGCTCCGCTATTATGGAAATTAAACTAACAAGATGAATAACATGAAATTATTTTAGGCACAGACAACATCCCCCACACTTTTGAAAAGCTTGCAACGCGCCTGCTGAGGACCCCAGTACTCCATGTGGTGCTACTGATGTTTAACGTCTACATCCGTACTTACTGACAATCAGGAATATTCCCAGGAGGAAGAGCACCACAGCAAAAACCAGACCGCCAATTCTCAAAGATTCGTAATCTGAAAGACAATAAAAGGAACGTAGGATTTTGCACAGGTACAATTTCATAGATCACACATTTAAAAAGCACTTCTGGGTCTTTTGTGGGGTTTCTAATAAGCACTTTGATTCAAGAGCAGAGCAGTAGAAATATTTCAGGTGGTCCTGTTGGAACGCCACACATTCCTGAAAGCTGCGGTCACCTGAGCCAACCCAGGATCAAAGCAGTTTTCATTTGTGCGTCTTTAAATTAAACATTCCAACAGCTGCTGAAAGGTTTTCTTTTATGGATTTACTACAATCTGTAGCTTGACTACATCACAAGTCTCTTAATCAGTAACCCCACCAGACAAGGGCGCTGCAAGAGGAAGAGAAGCTCAACTAACCGGGAATGTTGCTCTGGAAAAAGGAAAACACACACCTCCTCTGAAACTGTTACAGTGGAAACTCGTGTTTCTCTTTTCCCAGAGTAATTTCCCAAAAGGGTTTGCTCCTGACCTTTTAAAGGGAAGTATCTATTAGAGGCTTGCTTGTGTGTGTGTGTGTGTGTGTGTGTGTGTGTGTGTGTGTGTGTGTGTGTGTGTGTGTGTGTGTGCGCTTTATGGGCTACAGACGACATGAAAATCCCCAGTAAGCCACAAAGGGAGGAAGAGATGTGAACGCCTCTCAGACGTATCCTGGGAACGTCTTTAGGGCTGCTGGGAAATAAAAGCATCAACGGATTAGATGTGATGCTCTAAGTTAATCATGGGGAGCGGAGTTGTGTACGAAGAACTCTAGAAGAAACAGATTAGGGATTTTTTTATTTCTATTTAAGTCGTAGCCAAACCAGAGCTAACGAGACCGGGAGAAGGCTTCATATTATTGAGCAACAATGATTTAAAACAAGATCTGCTGCTGATGCACAAACACAACTTATGAGCAGGTTTTAACTGAAGTCATGGGTTTGGGGTCGTTATTTCAATTATTAAAGACAGTAAATTTGTGCAGAATCTGATGATTTTAAAGCAAATATTAAAAACAATTCAATCACGTTTTTAAAGAAATGCATGCATGTCCGAACACTGAGGGTTTGTGGAATTTCATTAGAAAAACGGCTGTTTCGCTAAAAAATGATCTTAACAAGTAAAAAGAAAACCCAAAAAGAGATTGAACTTGATCCTTGTAAGTCAGTTTGACCTAAATGACCTTTAAGTAACCAAATGTGAACACTTTATGATTTATTATGATCTTGCTGCAACAGCTAATTCAATGTTGCTTTATTTTCACTTTTTCCATCATTTTAATCTGGATTTTTGGGGCAAAACAGTTGCAGGTGACTTGTAAACTAAGGGGCAAACACGAGAACAAAGCAGAAATGATTCAAATGACGGGTGTTCTAACAAGAAACAAGCAGAGCGGGAAACTGTGCATTCATCACAAAAAACCAGGAAGAAAATCTTCCCAAGGTCAGGAACAAGCAGACGAATCAAAGTGGAGCGTGTTCTGAGCCTTTTCCAGAAACTTTAATTGAGGGCAAACTTTTCCACGTAAAAGTTAGGAAAGAGCCAACCCTCTCTGACCGTCCAGATGTTTCCTGCGTAGAAGGTCGACCACGAGAGCAACACCGCTGTGTGCTCAGCACTCACCGTAATGAAAAGCGTTGTCGGAATCTGCAGAGAGAAAGAAAGAGACAAGAATAACAAACGAGGCAGATTTTACCACCGTCACACCTCAGGGAAATGAAGATGATGCGCTTTGATGACATCATCAATTTCAATCCGATAAAACAGGACTGATTCCACTGATAACGGGTAATCCCTGCTGGAGTTCTGCTCACCTGTGCCGTAATCAGCTGCTGAGGCTGTGAAAACAGAGGAAGTAACAGTGAGATAGATGTGCATCAGCAGAAGGTAGCCGAGCTCCGTGCAGGTGATCCACACATTCCTAACGTTCACATTTGGCACAAAAATTCCCACCAGAAGAGGAAAGTACATCCCAAGAAAAATAACATCCATTTTAAGAATATTTATAGTAAATTATGGGAATGTGTGGGAGGGATGTTTATTGTCCTTTAGGACATAACCAAAGGGGATCTGATGGGGATGGGATGTGCTTGTTGTTTTTATGCACAAAACCAAAGCAACAAAAAAACAACCAACACGTGAGGACAGCGACCATCCTCCTGTGTGGTTTTATTCTCTGGTGTCCGTTCATCTGTCAGTGATGCAGGAACACACAGACCTCCCTCATCCGTTCATTCCTCGGTTCTTCCTGGGAGTGGACAGAAGTCATGAAGGAATTTCCTGCTCCCTAAATCCCAGTTTCTACCTTGTGTTCGGTCACTTAAAAGAATCCAGCTGAATAACTAGGAGACTGGCTTCAGTTTTCCGTTTTCCCAGGAACAAAGCTGACGTTGTTTTGGTGAGAATGGAAGTTTGGACAGAGAACAACGCAGGCTTACACCAGCCTCACCAAGGAGCAGTCACACAGATGCTCACGGCAGCCAGCATTCCGCTCATTAGTTACCCTTCTGTTGGTAAAACATCAGCATAAACCACTTTAAATTACAACTTGTGGGCTGTGCCTGGACACGCGTACGACACACTAAAAAATAAACTAGTTGACAGTTTAGATGCTAGAAGATGAGATTTATCCAGCAGGTGGTCAAGCAATCATTCATGCGGGCCCGTGAATGCTGTTTACTGGAAAGCAAGAGTCTAGGGTGTTCGGGTTACCTTTGACCTCCTTCATGAACAGTAAACACAAACGTCCCCTGGAAGCTAAAACACCTTTTGCTATATTGCTTTTGACAAGTCTCACATAGAAAGGTGTGACCTGCAGCCAGACGTAAGGGGAGAGAGACTTTAGCTCAGACACATCTGCTTAATATCACACCTATGAGATGCTGTGCAGAAACCCGGGTTTGCAGTAATGGTGGAGAACTTGGCAAATGACTTTTCAAACAGGAGAAAAACAAGATGATAAAACACTAAATGATTCAATAAAAACTAAAACAAACATTTTATATGTTTAACTAACAAGACGCCATGGCAAAAAGCTGCAGAAAACAAGCTAGCAGACAAAGTCCATGCAGGTCTGGTGCAGGAAACTTACCAAACACCTCCCTGCCAAACGCTGATCCTGTCATAGACACATCAGCCGACTCAGAGTGGACCGACTCAAAGCTAACACAGCTAAATGCTCCCGCGGGTTGGGCTAAAAAGGTCTCAGACTGATGAACCGTCAGTGACAGCAACAACTCACCGAGCGCAGGAGCCAGCCAGGAGCTGAACACCACCAAGACGGCAAGATCCATCGTACCTGGAAAGGAAACGGGACAGGAAGTTGAGACAAAGCTGCCAGCCAAGTTGACAGAGAGGGACCAGGGGTATGAGCAACCGATCCAGCAGCAGTATACGTAGGGTCAAACAGATGTGGTGAACGGTTCTGTACGTTCATTGGATAACACAAGCTTGAAGCAATCACTCTAATGTTCCCATTCCTGAGGGGGACGTAATGCACCATCTCACCAGACACAACATAACCAGATCTCAGATGTTATCGGGATAAGTAACCTCAGAATGTACGCTCCGGGCTCTGGGCAGCAGGAGAGGGTCTATTTTTAGGCTCAGTACCTCAGAACATCGGTTTTGGTAGAGGCGGGGTGCAGCAAGTCAAGGATGGTGTTGGGTTGCATTCGATGTTTGGTCAGGGGGGTTTGCTTTGGTTCTGCAGGGTCATCACCACTAGGCCATGGGCCTCTTGGGGCCATTTTCTGTCTATATATTATCTAGAACATTCCTTTGGGATTCTCTTACACCACTTAAGACTGGCTGAAGTTCTACAAACACACAGGAGCTTGGAGAAGGTTCTCTACTAAGAGACTCCTGTTCAGCTCACTTCACAGGTCCGTTCGAAACAGTGCAACCCCAAAACAAAGCCACAGAAAACGCAGGTGGATCAAATTCAGGTCCACACTCAAAGAACATCTAAGCCGTGAAATTTCTTTTTTTCCCTTCTGTGTTGCACAAAGATCAAAAGAGGTTTTGAGCAGAGCCATAGTTCCCTGCGAAGCCCAGAGCACTCCAGGCACAACTAGTGTGGGGGTGTGAACATGGTGCTGGAGTGGAGAGAAAAGAACGCTCCAGCCCTGGGAGCAGGATTTAGCTCCAAAGTGCTGCCAATCAGGTTTAATCAAACACATACAGGGCGAAGCACTGGAACAGGAAGCAATCCAATAATCGTGTTTGTCGGCCTTGAGAGTGATGTGGAAGGAAACAATGAGACGGAAAAAGAAACCCCAAAAGCAACACGTTAAGTGAATTCGGTAGATTATAATAAACTGGACTGGGAGACAAAACTAGACATGTAATGTATTCACCAACATGATTCAGACAGCCAGGCCTGCGTCTGCTTTGTTCCTCAAATAAACAAAACTAAGAGGAGCTGGAGATGGCCTAAAAACTCCCACCACCACTTTGCGACTATTCCGAGAATGTGGGGCAAGTTTACACCGAAGTTCGCAAAATATTTTGAATAAATTTGTATCACCGTCACAACCCCTCCCACTCACCCCTACCCGTGGTTTCAGTCTTGCCCCGTTGTTCTCGCATGTTAACGCGAGAGTTTGAGGAATGTCCCGAGCACGCAGCCACAAAAACGCGCTCCAGTAAAAGGTAGCAGCGTGTTGGTAAACTCCTTTAAAACGATGCTTTCACGAGTTTTACACCAAGTCTCCACGAAAGGGAAAAACGGGAGGAAGAAAATCAAAACACAGCCGAAAGAAGGCAGCGCGTGCCAGAGATGCTTGCTGTGTGGTCAACGGTGTCGCGTTGACGTGGATCGAGCTCGGGTTTGTTTGCAGCAGAAGCGACAGAAAAACTAGCGAACGATAAAGCAAAAACAAATAAAAATAAAATCTGTTTTTAATTCTCATCCCAATCTTTTAATGTTATCTGAGGTAACGTGGCTTTTTCTCTGCAGCAAAAGATGTTTTCAGTCATCTTACCCTGTTTTGGACTCAGACAACTCCGCCGTGAGTCAAACTTTGCAAGAAAGAAAGAAAAGTAAAGAAAAAATTTCCCACTCGAACAAATAAATAATAAAAACTGTAGTTTACAGCCAAATGGAGCCTAGACGCAGACAAAGACAGAACTCCGTCTGTTCCTTCAGTCTGAGGAGGAAGAGGAGGAGGGGCAGTGAAGTTACACCCCAGAATTACCCAGAGCTGCCCCTGCCACAGTCTGTCTACTGCCTCACTGCCAACACTTAAACTAACACAGTGTTTCAAAAACCCAGCACAGCATGCTCATTTACCCTCAGCAGTCACTTTAAATACATGCAAGATCATTTATGTTTGTGTGAGAGAACACAGCAAGCAGGCTGTACACAGATCCAGGTTCAGTGTGGAGTAGTGGCTGATTACCTGAACCTCGAGGAATTTTGTTATTTTTCTGAATTGATCTCCTTCAAGGACTTCCAGGCGCATTACTGTCCCACCAGCTGCACTTGAGAGGATCACACGTATAAACCTCTGATTTAGCTATTTATTTTTAAAGTTTTAAAATAGGATCATAACGCATTTTCACACATCACAAATAACAAGCACACTTTGTCGTCAAAAGGTATTTATTTAGTAGTCAGAATGAAAATAGTGTATTTCTAAGCAAGCAGAAGAAATAACATGTTGCAGTCTTCCATGTCTCCACTAGATGGAGGTGTTGGACAAGAATGAGCCACATGGTTTGACCTTTACAGAGAACGATAATAGGCCAGGGGCCTCATTTATCAAGCTTGCTTACACAAAACGGGATCGGAAAACTGCGTAAGTAACTTTCCACGCAAACTTTGGGATTTATGAAAGAAAACTTAGTGGAAAAATGTGCGCAACTTTAAGCTGACTAAGGACCTGGCTTATGCACATGATGGACATGGAGAGCACCTGCAGTGCTGCTGCTGAGAAGATACAATTATGAATTCCTGCAGCATTATCACTTGTACCGCTTCGTTTTCACACAGAACAAGTCCCCCCACATGCACACACACACACGTGCACACACACACACACACATGCGCACACACTCCACACACACTGCCTCACGCACGCGCGCGCGCACACACACACACACACACAGCCTGAAGCCAGAATGTGGAATGCAGAAATCAGCAGGGGGGCAGATTGAGACAGAACATCATGCGTCTGTGACGGTGTGTGTGTCCTGTCACTGTGACCTGATTGATCATGCGCCCTGGCTACTTGAACAAGGGAGATCTCCGTTTGGGTGACTGGTTAGTGTGCATGACTTTCACCCGGGAGTCTGGGAATCAAATCCTGATCGGATCATTTTTTTATATCCGCCACAGATCTCTCTGAAGAACTCAGCATTGACGGCTTCAGCAACGCTGTGCCACTCCGTGGATTTTCTCTTATTTGTTTTGCAAAAGCACTTCCTTTCAGTTCTCCACCTCACCCACAGGTACCTCAACTTCTGCTTGTGAAATAGTACTTCCTTGATCTGCCTTGATCTACGGTCACCATGTCATTGGCGGAGCGCTGCAACAGTCGGCTTATCTCTAATTTCCCTCTGGGATTAATAAAGTATTGATTGATTGATTGATTTGATTATGTATATGCATGAGATCCACAAGGCACTTTGCATTGACTATTTATGTCAGTAAGTGGGCGTGGTGAGGGCGGGATGTGACTAAAAAGCAGCTGAGAAACATTCTCGTTAGTCTCTGATTTATGAAGCGGAGATTGCGTGCAGCTGTGCGTACTCCATGTTTGATAGATCACAAACCTGCTTGGCGTAAGTACTTTTTTTTTGCTGATCTTAAGTACGGTTTTAGTAAGGATTCTACGCAATGTTTGATAAATGAGACCCCAGGCTACCAGGAAACAAAAGAAGGAAGTGGTGACGATGCTGATGATGCAAACAGAAAAACACTGTCTTCATCCTGTTTGGGAGAGAGAAACACAAGGTTGTTGTTAGCGATGCTTCACAGCTGTTTCATGCATCCACATTTTTCTGACAGACACGACTTTTGTAAAGTACCTTTGTGCAGGAGGCTTTTCTCTGTTGATGCAGAGCCATCGTCTCTACAGACCACTGCAAGAACAAGGAAAGTCATGGTCAAAAACGGCACCGCAGCAAGTAAAGTCGTGCCCGCTCAAACTGTTTTTCAATAATTTGCTCTTTTTAAAACATATGTGATCACAAACACACTACTGGTGTGTGTGTGTGTGTGTGTGTGTGTGTGTGTGTGTGTGTGTGTGTGTGTGTGTGTGTGTGCGCGCGGGTCTTTTGTTGCTTGGTAGACTCCAGAGGTCTTACTTGAGTGTAAGGTACTCCAAAACTAAAGACATGTTCTCAGATTAATATTGCACCCAGATGAGTCTTAAGTGTCCTTGGATGACAAGCAGAGATTGGATTGCAAGCTTTGTGGCTTTTGATGGCCATGCCTGTCGGCCTCACCTGCTTTTTAATCAGTAATTACCATGGGGGATTCTCCGGCATTTCTTAATTAAATTCAGCCAAATGCAATTAAAACCCACACTCTCATTACTTTAAAAGGGCTCTGTGGAGTCCTTGTTTAGTTCTTGCCGTTAAGAGAGTGAGCGGTTGAGCGGCCAAAGCACCATCCCATCTCTCACTGATCTGAACCTGATCGTTTCACTGGTCAGGTGAAGTTTGAGGTCTGCATCGTAAAAGGAACGTGTTTCAAACTTTCTCCTTTTTCTTCCCATTCAGAAAACTCACCAACTAGAAAAGTCTCCAGCACTCCAAGAGTCCATGACTCCAGACACATCAGTGGCTGCTTTCCCGTCTGCTGTTTTCATGTCATCGGTGGAGTTGTCGTTGTAGTTTCCACAGGCACCACACATCTTACCAGACAGGCTGGTGTCAATAGTGATGGTGACCTCTTGTGAAACAGAATAGGTGACCTGCACAGCTGATGCCCTCTCAATGACCACGCTCCTGTCTGAGATCTGGACTGACAGCTCGTTGGTCACTTTGCTGGGGAGAGACACTTTCCTGCCATTCACCTGAATAAATGACAGAGAGAGGACGTTCATTTTAGAAAAACAAAAAGTGAGTTTTTGCAAAAAAAAAGAAAAAGGAAAAAAGTTAGTTAAAAATTCCTTACCCAAGTGTCATGCTGGCTGTTCACTGTCACCGTGGTGTCGTTGAAAAACACATACACCGTGGCAACAGCAAGAAGGGACTTCTTGCTGCAGATCCTGACATCCACAACCACACGGAACCAATGCTTAGAGGTTTCATCGCACACAGAAGCCACCTCAAATGCCCCCTGTGCCCTCATTTCTCCGGACATGCCGTCAAAGGAGCTCAGCTTGCCAGGTGGGCTGACGCTGCAGTGACCCTGTTTGATGTGACAACCTCTGACCCCGTCACGTACATCACAAACCTCTTTATCAGAGCAGGACAGCTTCTCACACTTCACCAGCCCCGAGGCCTGGCACACGCAGCTGGATTTGCAGTCTTTGTCCACCACGTCTTGGCCCACCTAAATCACAAACAGTTTGTAGATTTAAGAATCGGTCTTAAATGTGCACCAGAACGAAACCTCTGTGAAACTTTACCGTAAGATATCGGTCGTTGTGCATACACCCACAGTTTTCCAGGGGAACACATTGGATGCCATCAAAAACAAAACCAGCGTCACATTGGCATCCTTCAAAACAACTTCCAGAGCAAGTGACTCGTTGAATGAAGCTGGCACATGTTCCACTGCAGGTGTCAGCGCACACCTCGTAGTGGCTGTGTGGAGGACAGGAAGCAGCTACAGCAGAACAAAATTTGAATAATAATTCAAAGACATGAATGAAACACGGTTAAAATGCGATTGCTTGTCGCTTACGACAGAATGAGCTGCTCCTCCATGTCTGGATTTGAACTCCTGCACTCTGGCAGGCCAGCGCGTAGGCCTGCACGCTGCTGCACAGGGTGTCTTTGTTTCCACTCGTAGCACAAACATCAAACACGCAATGAGAAACGTAAGCTGCTGGGTTGATGATGCTGTGGCAGGCTCTGAATGGCCCGCTAGGCTCACTCATGATGCCGCAGGAGTCTGCTTTTCCATACAGTGCAGCTTTGGCTGGCTCACACCCCGGACACTGGCCTCCACAGCCACCACACACGTAATCAGGCAGGTCCAGAACCCACGCCTTCCCAAACTCATCAACGTCTTTTGTTTGTTTTCCATCAGGAAGCCTGAAGTCATCGGCCCCGTTCTTGTTGTAGTTCCCACACAGACCACACATGTTACCCTGGTATGTAGACGGCACTATCACCTCAACATAGTACACAGTGTCATAGAGAACTTTCAGTCCAAAGTCTGTTTGGACCACGATGTTACGACCTTGTTGGGTGACTGTAAGCCGGCCCTCTTCTAGGGAGAGAGGAAGGTTAAGCAGCTCGTCATTTACCTGGAAAGAGAGGTAGAAGATCACAACCATCCAGTGAGCAGGTTAGCATCATGCACGGGTGTGTTTGGGTTAAACTCACAATGACTCTCCAAGGCACTTGCTGCTGAATGAAAATCACATGACCGTAGACAGTCACTGCAACTGACTTGGTTACAGCCACTTTTCCATTCCCATACTTTTCATTGCCTTGGGTGACAGTGAATGATGTCAGCCGTCCTTTGTCCCCATCGCAAACCTTCGCCAGAACGTAGACACAAGTGCCCTGGAAATCGAACCTCTGTCCATCAAAGGAGATGTAATGTGGGTCACCGGACGCCACGCATTTCCCTTCCCCCTCAGGGTGGCATCCGTTCACTCCATTTACAAGCTTACAAACTTCTCCTAGCTGGCATTTATTCTTTTGGCAAGTTACCGCCCCATTCTCTTCACAGGTACACTGCTGATCACACTTGTTTTGAGGAAAGAAAATCTCCCCTTTCTTATAGTACCGACCATCATAGGAGCACCCACACTCTCTTACAGGCACACAGGCCTCTCCGCTCAGCAGGTAGCCTTGATTACACTCACAGGTCTCTGCACAGCGTCTGTGGCAGGTGGACAAGGAGTTTAGACTGGCACAGGTGGTCGGGCAACCGGTGGCACACAGGGCGTAGTGACTGTTAGCGGGGCACTTCATTGCTGTTAGAAAGAAGGAAGACCGATTAAAGAAGGCACAGGTACTCAAAACAATATTTGAAGAACGTAAAAATGTAAAACTCACAGCAGAATGTGTCTGTTCTCCAGGAGAGGACAGTGATTCCTTTGCTCTGACAGGCAGACACATACACCTGTACAGCATCGCACATCGGTCGTTGATGGCCCTGATACTGACAGACATCATAAACACAGTCCTCCATGTAGGGAGCTGGGTCCACCTGACTGTGACAGTCTTTGAAAGGCCCTGCCTTGTCAACAATGATACCGCACTGCTTTGTAGCTTCGTACACTTTCTTCTGGGAGTCTGAACAGGCCTGGCACCACGACCCCTCGCAGACCGATGAACAGCCCGGTGCAAGGGCCACCTGCCAGCTCTCCCCCAGCCTGGTGCCATCCGGGGCGGTTTTACCGTTCGACATGGTCAGGTCGTCCTGAGCGTTTCCGTTGTAGTTGCCACACAGACCGCTGACCGCTCCCTGGTAGCTGCTGGGCAAAGTGACACTGACCGTGCTCTGCCAGTCAAAGCTCACGGTGACTCCAGCATCTGTCTCCACTACAGCTGCACTGCCGCTCCGAAACACCACCAGCGTGTTGTTGTAATCCAGAGGCAGCGAAGTGAGCTGCCCATTGAGCTGAAGAGCAGAAAACGAGAAAGGAATATTTCCAGGAGATTATAGATTTAATAATTTTGCCGTCCACACTAATCCATTCTAATGTGCAGTTAAATCGTTGCTTAATTAAGACTGTCTGGATCTAATTTTTAATGTGTAATTAAAATATATATAACAGAGAGAGAGAGAGAGAGAGAGAGAGAGAGGAAAGACAGAATTAGCACAGTAACAAAAGAAATAATCATCCACTCATTTGAATCAGTCTGAGAATATCTGTCCTGCTTTTACATTCAGTGATTTAACTAGGCAGTGCCCTAATTCTCATCCTTCTATTAATGTTCCTAACCACATGCTCCTCTATCCATACTTCCACATCAGTACGTACCAAGACCTTGTAGGGGTATTCTCTGCTGATGATGAGAGTAGCACCATACATGGAAATGTTGACAGTCCTTGTGTAGGCCACAGCCTTGTTCCCCCGGTTGTCATTCTGCACGGTGACATTAAAAGGTACCAGCCCGGGCTGCTGAGAGCCCAGGCCAGCTAGCTGATACACACACGTGCCTTGGAAGTCATATTTGCGGCCATCAAAAGTGCGATAGTGTGGGTCACCTGAGGCTGTGCAAGTGGCGTAGCTGATGGGTCTGCAGGCACGCTCCCCATCCACTACGGTGCATTTCTCTTTAGACGAGCAAGAGGCTTCACGGCACTTTACCATGCCCAGGGTCGTGTTGCATGTGCACAGGCGGCCACAAGCCTCGTCGGCCCAGAACTGCTGGCCCGGTTTGTAGTAGCGTCCCTGATAAGAGCAACCACATGTTGCCGCAGGCACACAGATGCCAGCGCTAAGGACGTAATTTTGATCACACACGCAGGCCTCCACACAGGCGCCGCTGCACTGCTGCTTTTCCCCAGGGAATGGGCAGGATGGCTGGCATGAGCTGGCACAGTCTTCATAGTGGCTGTTGGGCTGACAGTTCATTGCTGGGTGTGCATAAAATGTTTACAGGTTAAATATTTAAGAATACAATAAATAATTATTTCAATTAGGAACAAAATCATTTTCTAAATACTTACGGCAGCCAAACATCTTCCTCCAGTCCTTGATGATTATCCCCTGCTCGCGACACTGCGCATTGTAGGAGGCCAGAGCTTGACACAGCATCTTTTTGTCTCCCTTATTTAAACACATGTCATACACACAGCTGTTCATAAAGGCCTGCGGGTCCAACTTTCCGTTGCACATCCTAAACACACTGTTGGTCTGAGCCGCTAAGGCCCCACAGAAACCCTGGGTCTCATAGAGTTTCCTGTCATCATTATCACAGGTAGGGCAGTTTTTCTCACACGTGTCCCAGCACGGATAGTCTTTGTCCTGATCCGGCGTTTGCCAGCTCTTAGCCCACTCTATTACGGAGGAGACAGCATTCCCAGCTGGGTTCTGGAGCTCGTCACCCATGTTGCCGTTGAAGTTGCCACACAACCCACAGACGCTGCCGTAGTAGCTGCTGGGGAGTTTAACGACTAGATACCAGTTCCAGTCATAAGAGACCACCAGGCCAAAGTCTGTTCCGACCTCTGCAGTGGATCCTTTCTGAAGCACAGACACTTTACCACCCCCCAGTTCTACTGGGAGATTGAGCAGCTCACCATTTACCTGAAAAACACGGACCGCAACATAAAAAGGGCTCATAGTAAATAAAATCGGGTCAAACAGGAAGGAGCTAAAGTCTCACCGTGACTTGACCAACTTGGTTTTTCCGGATTGTGATGTTGTACCCATGCACGAGCACATCGACCTCCCTGACATAAGAAACCGCGGTGTTTCCTCTGTTGTCATTCCTCTCGGTGACGGAGAAGGGGACCAGGCCGTTCAGCGCTCCACAGGTCTTGGAGATGACATACCTGCAGGTTCCCTGGAAGTCAAAGTTCAAACCGTCAAATGTGTGGTAGTGGGGGTCGCCCCAGGCCCAGCAGGTGCCTGTGAACTTGGGAACGCAGGTGGCCACATCCTTATCCACGCGGCAAGTTTCCTGGACACGACAGTTGGCATCTTTGCAGGGGTCTGCAAGAGGCACACAACAGTGCATTTTTTTTAAACAGTTGTGCTGTTAGTTAATAGTAGTAAGAATAAACATATAGAACGTGTCATGCCTGTGTTGTAGCATGCCCTGATGCCTTCCTTGACCATGCATTTGGTGCTTGTAGGACAGGTTTGTTTCTCACAGACGAGGCCTCTCGATGGATCACAGGTGCATTTTGTGTTACAGTCGTCCTGATGAATGACTTCACCAGGCTGGAAACAAAGGACTAGTTCATGAAAACAAACCATACTGTCATAGGGCATTTAAAAGCTATTCAGCTGGTTTACAAAAACCTTAAACACCCCAAATAATCCTGATGAAAAATCATTTCATGTGATTTGAATGACATGCTCAGATGCACCAAAATGGACAGATTTTTTAAACAGAGGCGTACCATGTATGTTTTCCCTTTCTCATAGCAGCCACATTGGGTCTCATTGATGCACGTCTCCCCATTGAACAGGAAACCCACATCACACTCACAGCCTTCTGCACAGCCGGAGGAGAACTGAACGATCTCTGTGAGACCGGGGCAGGAAGCAGACCAGGGTGCAGCACACACCTCATAGTGACTGTTTGAGGGGCATTTCATGGCTGTTTTACAGTATCACACACAAAAAATGGAAAAGTGAGAAAGCATGTCTTTAAACAGATTCACCAATAAGCTGATTGGACAGCAAATTAAAAACCTACCGCAGAAGGATGGAGTCCTCCAGTCTTTGACATCAGTGCCTGCCATGTGACAGTTGTAGGCGTAGGCTGCCACACTGTCACAAAGCGTGTCTCCGTCTCCGTTTGAGGCACACAAATCAAACACGCAGTTATCAAAGTATGGCTGTGGGTCCAGCTTACTGTGGCAGACAGCAAACGGACCTTTGGGTGCTGTTAGAACACCGCAGTAGGTGGTCTCTGAGAACACAGCCTTGCGAGCCGGGTCACAGTCAGGACAGTTCTGCCCCTCACAGCCGTTCTCACACACCACATTAGGAACGGTCACCTTCCACGAACCTCCAAACGCGTTCACATCTTTAGTGACTTTACTGTTGGACATCTGGAAGTCGTCGTTTTTGTCGCCGTTGAAGTTGCCGCACAGGCCGCAGACTTTGCCACGGTAATTACCGGGTACCGTGACTGTCACGTGATAGACCAGGTCATACGTGACGATCAGTTGAAAATTTGTCGTGATGACATAATTTCTTCCTTCTCTGTAAACCTGAACTGCTCCGTCATTGAGACTTACAGGAAGATTGTTGAAAACTCCGTTTACCTGAAACAAAAGGGGTTTAAACGTTTTTTTAACCATTAACTCATTCACTGCCAATGATGACTAAAGTCGTCATTTGCATTTTTTTACTGTTTGAAAATCGGAACGAGCCCCCGCGCTGAGAGAACAAACATCTCAGCCCTGAAGCCGATCTTCATCCGCATACATCACATGTCACGTGATCAGGAAGCAGACCATCCATGTGTTAGGAGATCGTTTTGGGCCGTTCCTGTAAGAAAAGTGAGGCGCAAACCGGAAAAGCGTCTGCCGATCACAATTCGACAACGAATTATGAAAGAACGGATAATACTAAAAACATGCGGCTTCTTCCTGATGTAAGAGGTGAGTCTCCGCTTTGTTTTGGTTGTTTTGGCGTTGACATCATGCTAGCACGCAACGTTCTGTGACTCTTAAAATAACAGTAAAAACGGTGAGAAACGCTGGCAGCGAAGGCCGTTAGTGATCAGGAAACGGTTGGCAGTGAATGAGTTAAAATAGATGCTGGTATGTTTTTCTTTAAATAGTCACTCACCAACACACCAAGCATTTTAGTTCTCACGATGAGTGTGAAGCCGTAGACCTCCACAGCAACCAGCCGGGTAACAGAGACCTTTTTGTTTCCCCTCATTTGGTCCCACTGCACGTTCTCCACCTGAACAGAAAAGTCCTCCAGGTGGGTGCCGTCCAGCCCGCAGCTCTTAGAGAGAGTGTAGGTGCATGTGCCTTGGAAATCGTATTTATTCCCATCAAACGAGAGGTAATGGGGGTCACCAGAGGCCTGGCACACCCCCTTACCAACAGGGTGACACTTCTGGATCCCGTCTTCGATCATACACTTCTCATTAGGACCACATGTGAACTTCTTGCATTCAACCTGAGATAAACACAGACACATAGCAACTATTTAATTAAAAACAGGTAACATGTTTCAAGTCACTCTGGCGTGTTTTGATTTAAATACTCTGTTTACTTTTCCATCCTGTGAGCACTTGCACTCCTCCTGACACTGCCCGTTGGGATAAAACACCTCACCGACGAGGTAGTAGCGCTCGTTGTAGAGGCAGCCACACTGCGAGAAGGGGACACAGAGATTCCCACTTAGGATGAAGCCTTCATCACAGATGCAACCCTCCTTACAAGAAGCCTGGCATCCCTGAGGAGGAGCCAGAGTGCTGCAGGTTGAAGGACAGGCAGGTGCACAGACTTCATAGTGGCTGTTAGCAGGACATCTCACATCTGCACACAAGGGACAGAATGCAATCATTTATCCACTACATATATACATATACATACTAACTGGAGGATTGAAGTACTTTATTTTCTCTCTTTCTTTTGTTTTAAATAAGTAAACAAAATCAAAACACATCTCACCACAGAACTGGTTGGTTCTCCAGCTATACACATTGGCTCCCACTTCTTGGCAGGCAGATGTGTATGATGTAACTGCCTGACACAGCACATCCTTCAGGCCTTTGTACAGGCACACATCATAAACACAGTCCTCGAAGAAGCCAGCTGGATCCACCTTGGCATGACACTCTCGGAAAGGCCCTTTGGGGTCTCGGATCATGCCACAGAAGTCATTCTTTTCATACTGAACCTTTTCTGTGATGTCACAGTCAGGACACACCCCTTTACAGCCTTCCACACATCCCGGGATTTCAGCCACTCGCCAGCTGGAACCAAAATCTGTAGGGTTGACAGGTTTGTTTCCATCTTTGGGGGTCAAATCGTCCTGGGACCGGCCGTTGTAGTTACCGCAGAGGCCACAGACAGCGCTCATGTAGTTGCTCGGCAGTGTTAGAAAAACGGCACTTTCCCAGTTGAAAGAAACTTTTAGGCCAAAATCTGTGGTAACATAAGCAAACAAGCCACTCTTATACACAGATATCCGTCCTTCGTTAAGGCTGACTGGGAGGTTGAGCAGCTCTTCGTTTACCTGAAGAAGAGAATTCAGCAACATTTCAAAACTAAAGAAATTTAAAGCAGAATTAACCTCACATAAACCTGTCTTACCATGATCATGCCTTTGTACGTCTTTGTTATGACGATGCTAGTGGAGTACACCTTGATCTCCACTAACTTGGTGTAGGAAACCACCTTACTGCCTCGGTGATCATTCTGTACCCGGACCTCAAAAGGCACCAGCTCTGGGTCCGTGGAGCAGAGAGCAGCTAGTTGGTAAACACACGTGCCCTGAAAGTCAAACTTCTGCTTGTCAAAGGTCACATAGTGAGGATCACCGGTGGCCTGGCAGGTACTGTTCGATGTCGCTTGGCATTTTCTGATGCCGTTGACCACTTTGCATTGCTGACCTGCCCCGCAGCCTTTATTTTGACACTCCACACGTCTGCTTCCTGGGCTGCATTTACACCATTGCTTACAGTTCTGGTCAGCCCAGAATGCCTCCCCTGAAGGAATGTACCGACCCTCATAGGTGCAACCACACTGAGCTTCAGGAACACACTTGTCTCCACTTAAAACAAAGCCTTTGTTACAGGTGCAGGTCTCCATGCAGGGGCGTTTGCATTTGGAGGGGGCATTAGGGTCCGAACAAGTGGCAGGGCAGGCACTTCCACAGAGCTCGTAGTGACTGTCGGCTGGACATTTGACAGCTGCAGGGAAGGAATAGATACAAAATAGATGAATAGATGAATTAAAGGTGTTATATTCCTTGAATGAATCCATTTAGCTTGCTACCTTTATGCTAAAAATTAAACTACAGTTTTCTGATGTTGAAAAGTTTGAGAGTCAAGATGCTTTGGCCAAATCTCAAAAACTGCTTTGTGGAATCTCAAACCATCTCGTTGTAGTTTAGTCATGTGACTTTCATTCAGTATCTGTAACCTAAGTTACACTGTCCAAGCTGTGCTGGTCACTTTGAATGGGGTTGACTTCAAGTGTTCATGCAGGATTTGTTTTCTGTTTCATTAAAAGCTGTTCACTGGCTCATACTATATTTTCAAATAGACACATCACAGAGTGGTAATGTTGCACTTATTTTATATTCTATATAGCATGTTTTACTTGCTTTTATTCTGATGTGCATGTTTTTATTGATGGTGTGTTTTTAGTTTGTTTGGTGCAACATTGTGTTTCATTCTGTGTTAATCACCCCAATCATCTACACCTGCGGCAGAGTGTTGCCTGGACTGCCAATTAATGAACAGATGCAGGCAGGAGGCGAGGGCAGACAGGTTTTGTTTAAAGGGAGGAACGCGTGGACCAGGAAAGACAGCCAGGATGGCAGATAGAGCCAGCTAAGAGGCAGAGGCGCACCCCGGACGGTGTCTTGAGGACACACGTGCCTGACCCCCCCCCCCCCCCCCCCCCCCCCGCCGGAACAGAGGAGCACCCGGAGTACGGTCCTGGAGGATGGACGGCGGCCGAGTGCGGAGGAGCGTGGGTGTCCCTCTCTCCACACATGTGCGGGGCGCGTACAGGTGCCACTGAGTCCGGTCAGAGTCTTGGACCGAGGAGGGGGTTCACCAGCGGTACGGACAGCAGCAGCAGCGGAGAGCGAGATCCGCAGCCAGAGAAGCCAGGGCACGGAGCGCAGCATGGCAGGTGGGCAGAGTTACTCTGCCCCCATGCGTAAGTAATTGATCAGTGCCTGGCAGTGTTTGGAGCTTGCTGTCTCTCTGTGCATGGTCTGGTGCCGGGGACCTTTTACCGCCGGAGTTGTTGTGTGTCACCGCGTGCCGGTGAATGAAGCCGAGGTGAGGCGAGGATCCAGACGCTGGGAGGAAGACATGCAGACAGGTAGGAACTCTTAACACTTATTTATTAGGAGACACGCTGACAAACAAACAATGATGCGACACAAGACACAGAACAGAAGGGGTTTAAATACAAGAGGGCCGGGAGCTAGGGTGATTGGGAAACGAGAGGCAGGTGGGAGCAAATAACGGAGACACAAGGCTGAACCAAACGGTGAGACAGGACAGAATGTGACAGTCCCCCCCCCCCCCCCCCCCCCCCAAAAGGGTGGATCCCAGACGCCCACAGGAACAAGGAGCAGGGCGGGAGTAGGGGGACCCGGAGGGAGGGCCAAGAGGAACCGAGGGACCAACAGAGAGGAGGCAGGGACCAGCAGAGTCCGGGGGCCTGCGCCTGGGGCAGAGGAAGAGGAGACGACGGGCTCTTGGAGGCCTGCGTTTGCGGCAGAGGAGGAGGCGGTGGGCTCTTGGAGGCCTGCGTCTGCGGCAGAGGAGGAGGCAACGGGCTCTTGGAGGCCTGCGTCTGCGGCAGAGGAGGAGGCGACGGGCTCTTGGAGACCTGCGTCTGCGGCGGAGGAGGAGGCGATGGGCTCTTGGAGGCCTGCGTCTGCGGCAGAGGAGGAGGCGATGGGCTCTTGGAGGCCTGCGTCTGTGGCAAAGGAGGAGACCCCGACGGGCTCTTGGGGGCCCGCGTTTGCGGCGGAGGAGGAGGCGATGGGCTCTTCGAGGCCTGCGTCTGCGGCAGAGGAGGAGGCGATGGGCTCTTGGAGGCCTGCGTCTGTGGCAAAGGAGGAGACCCCGACGGGTTCTTGGGGGCCCGCGCTTGGTGAGGGCAGGACCGGCGGCGGCCGGAGGCAGAGACGCCGGAGGCAGAGACGCCGGAGGCAGAGACGCCGGAGGAGACGTCCTTGACTTCTGGACTGAAGACGGCGTCATCGGCCTCTGGGCTGGAGGCGGCGTCGTCGGCCTCTGGGCTGGAGACGGCGTCAACCACGGGACTGGCGAGAGCGTCGACCTCTGGAGTGGATGAGGCGTCAACCTCTGGAGTGGATGAGGCGTCGTCCTCTGGAGTGGATGAGGAGTCGACCTCTGGCGTGGATGAGGCGTCGACCTCTGGAGTGGATGAGGCGTCGACTTCAGAACACAAGGAGGCATCGACTTCAGAACACGAGGAGGTGTTGACTTCAGAACACGAGGAGGTGTCGACTTCAGAACACGAGGAGGCGTCGACTTCAGAGCACGAGGAGGCGTCGACTTCAGAACACGAGGAGGCGTCGACTTCAGAACACGAGGAGGCGTCGACTTCAGAACACGAGGAGGCGTCGACTTCAGAACACGAGGAGACGTCGACTTCAGAACACGAAGAGGCGTCGACTTCAGAACACGAGGAGGCGTCGGCTTCAGAACACGAGGAGGCGTCGGCTTCAGAACACGAGGAGGCGTCGGCTTCAGAAAACGAGGAGGCGTCGGCTTCAGAACTTGAGGAGGCGTCGACTTCAGAACACGAGGAGGCGTCGGCTTCAGAACACGAGGAGGCGTCGGCTTCAGAACACGAGGAGGCGTCGACTTAAGAACACGAGGAGGCGTCGACTTCGGAACACGAAGAGGCATTGACTTCAGAACACGAGGAGGCGTCGACTTCAGAACACGAGGAGGCGTCAACTTCAGAACACGAGGAGGCGTCGACTTCAGAACACGAGGAGGCATCGACTTCAGAACACGAGGAGGCGTCGACTTCAGAACACGAGGAGGCGTCGACCACAGGGTTGGAGGAGGCGTCGATCACAGGGCTGGAGGAGGCGTCGTCGGCCTCTGGGCTGGAGACGGCGTCAACCACGGGACTGGCGAAAGCGTCGACCTCTGGACTGGCGAGAGCGTCGACCTCTGGAGTGGATGAGGCGTCAACCTCTGGAGTGGATGAGGCGTCATCCTCTGGAGTGGATGAGGAGTCGACCTCTGGCGTGGATGAGGCGTCGACCTCTGGAGTGGATGAGGCGTCGACTTCAGAACACAAGGAGGCATCGACTTCAGAACACGAGGAGGTGTTGACTTCAGAACACGAGGAGGTGTCGACTTCAGAACACGAGGAGGCGTCGACTTCAGAGCACGAGGAGGCGTCGACTTCAGAACACGAGGAGGCGTCGACTTCAGAACACGAGGAGACGTCGACTTCAGAACACGAAGAGGCGTCGACTTCAGAACACGAGGAGGCGTCGGCTTCAGAACACGAGGAGGCGTCGGCTTCAGAACACGAGGAGGCGTCGGCTTCAGAACACGAGGAGGCGTCGGCTTCAGAACACGAGGAGGCGTCGACTTCAGAACTTGAGGAGGCGTCGACTTCAGAACACGAGGAGGCGTCGACTTCAGAGCACGAGGAGGTGTCGACTTCAGAACACGAGGAGGCGTCGACTTCAGAGCACGAGGAGGCGTTGACTTCAGAACACGAGGAGACGTCGACTTCAGAACACGAGGAGGCGTCGACTTCAGGACACGAAGAGGCGTCGACTTCAGAACACGAAGAGGCATCGACTTCAGAACACGAGGAGGCGTCAGCTTCAGAACACGAGGAGGCGTCAGCTTCAGAACACGAGGAGGCGTCGGCTTCAGAACACAAGGAGGCGTCAGCTTCAGAACACGAGGAGGCGTCGGCTTCAGAACACGAGGAGGCGTCGGCTTCAGAACACGAGGAGGCGTCGGCTTCAGAACACGAGGAGGCGTCGACTTAAGAACACGAGGAGGCGTCGACTTCGGAACACGAGGAGGCGTCGACTTCAGAACACGAGGAGGCGTCGACTTCAGAACACGAGGAGGCGTCGACTTCAGAACACGAGGAGGCATCGACTTCAGAACACGAGGAGGCGTCGACTTCAGAACACGAGGAGGCGTCGACCACAGGGTTGGAGGAGGCGTCGATCACAGGGCTGGAGGAGGCGTCGACCACAGGGCTGGAGGAGGCGTCGACCACAGGGCTGGAGGAGGCGTCGACCACAAGGCTGGAAGAGGCGTCGACCACAGTCGATGGAGCTGGGCCAGCTCAGCCCGGAGACCGGCGAGCTCCGCTGGGTGGATCTCGGGCTCGCTCCTCTGGCTCTGAGATGAGGGAGCTGCCGGCTGGACCGAGACCCTCTCCTGGCGGTTTGAGGAGGATAGAGTGTCCAGATGGGACTCCTGGAGGCTGACGAGCTGGCGGATCCGGCCAAGCTCCGCCTGGAGACTGACAAGCTCTGTCAGCTGGACTGCGGGCACTGCTCCTCCACCTGCAGATGACGGAGGCACCGATTGGGCCGGAGACCGGACTGCTGGTCTGACCGGGGGCGGGTCCAAGCTGCTGCGCCGAGCAGGGGCAACGGGGACCTCACAGTTCCGTCCCAGGACACAGGGCTGCGGTGGAGCCCGGCGTCTTTCCCCATGCCGTGGGCCAACTCCGAGGGAGCACACAGCCAGGCGGGTGCCCACGTAGCTGGAGTGATCCGGAAGCGTCTTCCGGTCCATTCTCTCATCTGGCTCAGGCAGGGTGGAGAGGATCGCCGAGGCTGAAGGTTGGTAACGTCGTCTGCGGCGAGGCTGGAGGAAGAGAGGCCGTCCGATGGTCCACGGAGAGAAACTGCAACAGGCACTCCCAGGGGGAATCTCCCCGCTGGATCCGTTATTGGGTCGGATCATTCTGTCACCGCGTGCCGGTGAATGAAGCCGAGGTGAGGCGAGAATCCAGACGCGGGGAGGAAGACAGGCAGACAGGTAGGAACTCTTAACACTTATTTATTAGGAGACACGCTGACAAAGAAACAATGATCCGACACAAGGCACAGAACAGAAGGGGTTTAAATACAAGACGGCCGGGAGCTAGGGTGATTGGGAAACGAGAGGCAGGTGGGAGCAATTAACGGAGACACAAGGCTGAACCAAACGGGGAGACAGGACAGGGTGTGACATTGTGTGCCCACAGGGGCCGGGCCGAGGAGGAGGGTTGGATCCACCGTACGGCGATCCTGTGGTTCCCCGAGGACGACGCGCACCGCAGGAGGGTGGGGCCGTAAAGACTTCCCTGTCGAGCTCACGCAGGGCCGGACTGGACTGCTTTGTCTGAGGCCCAGCACAAACTTATTTAGGAGTTCATTTTGGGCATCATCATCCGCGAGCTTTCGGAATAAATTCCTTTTTAATTTACTTTTGTCGTTGCACTGCTTGTTTTGTTTTTAGAACCGTTTGATAGTAATATTTTAACTTTTGTACCTTTTTACTAGTTTTATCTGTGAACCAGTCTTAAACTTTGGCACTGTAGATTTTAAATTTTCCTAGAGGTCCCACTCATGTTGTCACATACACAGACTCAAACACAATAATTCTTACCTGCCACCAAAAGGCCAAAGTCAGGAAAACTAGTTAGTGAATAATCAGAGTTTTTACTTACGACATGTTGCCTTGCTCCTCCAATCTTGAACTTGGATCCCAGCACCCTGACAGGCGTCCGTGTAAGCCTCGAGAGCCTTGCAGAGAAATTGTCTAAGACCGCCTCCCATACATAAATCATATTTACAGCTCTCCAGGTATGCTTGAGGGTCAATGATGGAGTAGCACTTGCTGAATGGACCGTTTTCTGTTTTGATCAGCCCACAGAATGAGTTATCCTCATACTTCTTAAGCAGATTTTGATCACAGCTGGCACAACCACCCACACAGTCATCTTTGCATTGAGGGTCCGCCACCAATCCTGGGACCTTCCAACTGGTCCCAAAGGCTACAACACCTGCTGCCTGACTTCCAGAGGGTGTGGCAAAATCATCACTTGGATTGCCATTGAAGTTTCCACAGAGCCCACACGTCTTACCAGCGTAACTGTCAGGCAGAGTAACCACAAGATTGTGATCCCAGTCGTAACGGACTGTGAGTCCAAAGTCAGTCTCAATAACTGCAGAGCGGCCGCTCTGAGACATGTTCAGTTTGTTGCTGTTCAAAACCACAGGCAAGGTCCACATACTGTTGTCAATCTGCACACCAATACAGGAAATAAAATGTTTTCACATCTTACACAAACCAGTGAAGGTCAAAAGCGTGAATATTAAAAAGCACAAATACTAAAACGTTATACTAAGAAAGCAGGTTTTAGTAACACAAGCAGATACCCTACCCTCACTCGACCCGTCTCAGATCGAACCACCGTTACAGTGACACCGTACACCGTTATCATGACCTGGTTCACGTATGACACCTTGCTGCTTCCTCTGTTCTCGTTCAGGGAAACGACTTCAAATGCTGGAAGGCTGCTGTCCTTCCCACAGTTTTTAGTGATGGTGTAAGCGCAGGTGCCCATAAAATCAAAGCGTTGTCCATCAAACGTTCTGTAGTGAGGATCCCCCATGGCCCAGCAGGTGCCGAGCTTCACTGGCTTTTGGACACAGGAGGGATGCCCACCACTCATCTCACACACCTCACTGGGACTGCAGGTGACACTGCTGCAGGACAGAGATCCACTTCCTGAAAACAAAAAGAACAGTGAACACCCGCACTGGGGGTTTTAATAGGAAATGTTTGTGTTGAGAGATTTGTGGAACTTTGCTCACCATACCTTGCTGTGTGCAGTGTCCCACAGAACCATAACCATTCATCTGACTGACTCCAATACTGTAGAGACCGAAGCTGACGTCAGGGCTGGACACAGTGTGAACATTGTTGCCAGGTTTCTGTTCATAGGACATCTCAGCCCAGGAGAAATCTGACCCTGTGATCTTTTTCCACAGGACATCCTTTGGCAGATTTCCATTGTCAAAACGTATCCCACCTGTTCCTGTAGTTTTGGCCACAATGAGAGCTTTATTGTCAAAATTGTCAAGACCCCCAAGTGAGTAGGAAGAGCAGAAGCGGTCAGTGGACATGATGGTGGTTAAAAAGGGGTCATAAAATAGGTGCAAGCCTTGTCTCACGCCGTTGAAGAGCAGGAGGACCTGGATGCCTCGATCGGACTGAATGAACACTGTTTCAGGACTTTTGCAGAGGATCTCCTTTACCTCTCCCCTGGAGAGGCTGAGGTCATATTTACGGTCACCCTGGTTGATAGTGACCTTGGTGGACTGGGAGGCCTGGAGGAACAAGGAGTCGTAGTTCTCCTGGAAGCTCAGAGGAGGCACAATGAAGTTTGTTCCCCATCTGCTTGCTGGCAGGAGCTGCTCATAAACATGGTTGCATTTTGAGAATTGCCATGTACAAGTGTGGCCAGTGAATACAGCAACGGGATTCTTGGAGGAAACTCTGCTGCCAGAGAGGTCGTCGCTGCTCTGAAGCAGGATACTCTCATATGGCTGGAGATCAGTCTCCAATTTACTGCCTTTCCCGTAGACGCAGCCCTCAAACTCCACTGACCCTTGTGGGTAGATCTCCACCTTGTTGCTGTCTTTTCCATTTGTCACTGCAAACTCTTTATAAGAGCCGTACGGGCTTCCAGGAGGAGTGATGATGAAGTACTCTGTGCCCCACTCTGTGGTCGGATACAACACAGAGGTGTCTGCTGTGTACAGCTTGTAGTTAAAGGAGGTCACAGAAACATTGGCTGAAGCTTCAATTTGCACCGTGTTGGAAGACTTTCCGCTTTCGTACATCTCTACATCAGTCGGGATGCTGACTGTGACCCCTTCTCCAGCCTTAAGGGATTTTTCTTCTTTGAATTTCAAGGAAGGCACTTGAACGGTCACTTTAGTATTGGTTTGAACGGCTGTGATGTACAGCTGAAAACGGGGTCCATCGTAGTGCGGTGCATAGTTCTCCATAAACGACATGGCAAACTCTCTCCCTGCCCAGCCTGCATTGGATGGGCCTGAGACAGAAAAGGTGATGAAAAATAAAATATTTACTCAGTTGGACCTTCAAACTTTAAGTGAAGTGAAAATGTGTGAGAAGACATTTTGAAATGAACAGGACTTTTTGTGTCAAGGCAATCAAAGGATTCAGAAACAGGCTATTGGGTAAAAGGACCGAATAAGAGAGGCTTCTCAAACAGTACAAAGAAGCAAGAAGACACCAGTGAGGAAATGGATGAAAAGCTCTATTTCTAAGTTAAAAGACAGGAATAAATACTGGTCTTTGATAAATGCTTTTTTCTGTTTGAAATGAGAGATTTAGAAACCCGACTGCCTCCAAGCAGAACTCATGCCTGTAAAATATCATGGTTACATGATAGGAAAAAGAGTATTTTAATGCGAAGAGGATTGTGCTCATTTTCCAGCTCTTTAGTGTCAGTTGGTACAACTACAAAGTAAAAGTGAAGAATTGTTTTCAAAGAACAGATAACTCAGTTTATATGGTGACATTAATGATTAAAAAAGGCATTGCTGCATTCTCAAAGCCGTAATAAAATTGAACAGTTATGCCAAACAAACCAATTAACAAACCAAAATAAACGTTTGCAATAACAAATAAAACCTCTACTTACAGCTCATGAAAGCCCCCAAAGCACAGAACAGCAGCAGGGTCCCCATGGCTGAAAATGAGAAAATACCAACATCTGGATTCAATCATCAAATCGCCTTATCCAAATCACATGATTCCAACACGCGGCTTAACTCACCTGTTCAGTGGTTACATGTGGACTTTCTGTGTGGTCTCATCTACTTATACACTCAAGGACCAAAAAGTACCAACCTGGAAGCCCAACAATACCCTTCCTCTAAAACAAACACAGGCTAAACTCTGCACTGACTCTCAGGTCCTGCTAAATGTTGACAAGGTGTGACAGGTGTGAGCTTTAATACAAACTACATGTCTGATATCAGTCATTTATGTTTCACTGAAGCTAACACCCCGTGAATGAGCACACCTTGTCTGTTTTTACAGGGAAAAGTTGCTTCTCCACCTTTTTCTTTTATTGTTGGCTAAGAAGTGAACTCAGTTCAGTTATTACCAAACTTTCACCTCGCTTTTATGTCATAAACTGTGTTAATACAGAAGTCTGGATAATATAATAATAATAATAATAATAATAATAATAATAATAATAATAATAATAATAATAATAATAATAATTATTATTATTATTATTATTATTATAACAGTAGTAGAGTAGTAGAGAACTGTACAGGGTAAGAATTGTTGCCTTGCAGCAAGAAGGTCCACGGTTCAAATCCCGTTCTGGGATCTTTCTGCATGGAGTTAGCATGTTCTCCCTGTGCATGCGTGGGTTCTCTCCGGGTTCTCCGGCTTCCTCCCACAGTCCAGAAACATGACTGTTAGGTTGACTGGTCTGTCTTATGCTTAGGTTTGTGTGTGTGTGCATGACTGTTTGTCCTGCGTGTCTCTGTGTTGCAGAGGTGTGACCAAGTCACTGCTTTACAAACCACAAGTAAGTCACAAGTCTTTCCAGTCAAGTCTCAAGTCAAGTCCAAGTCAAAGACAACTAAGTCCAAGTCGTGTCCAAAGTCAATGATCTGTAAGTCCAAGTCCTTAACTTTGAATTTTCAAGTCATACTCAAGTCATCTGTTCAACTTCAATTTAATGACGATGATAATAAATAAAATCCAGAAATAAAACTTCTTAAAGCTTCATTTGTTTGCTCAAACAGCAGAAAGTTCAACTGAAACCGATGCTAAACAACGTGCTGCTGCATTCAGCAGTAAATCAAACCCAGAACCAAGAATGATTTATGATTTTTGTCCATGTCGTGCCACTTTTCAGCTAAAATATCAAATTTGCTTAAGTCATCATCAAGTCAACAGATGCAAGTCGATTCAAATCGCAAGTCATTGGCGTTCAAGTTCAAGTCAAGTCGTAAGTCTTCATAGATTTTATCAAGTCAAGTCAGAAGTAATTAAAATAATGACTCGAGTCTGACTCGAGTCCAAGTCATGTGACTCGAGTCCACACCTCTGCTGTGTTGCCCTGTGATGAACTGGAAACCTGTCCAGGGTGTACTCCGCCTGTTTACCCACTGACTGCTGGAGACAGGCACCAGCCCCCGAACCTGCACGGACAAGCGTGTTCAGATAATAATAATAACAATGATAATAATAATAACAACAACAACAACAACAATAATAATAATAATAATAATAATAACAATGATGATGATGATAATAATAATAATAATAATAATAATAATAATAATAATAATAATAATGATGATGATGATGATGATGATGATGATAATAATAATAATAATAACATTAAAATCATTTTAATTAGTTTGGTCTTTAGATGAATTCAACATGAAGCAATTTTATTGTTTGCTTTAATCAGAAAACAATTATGTGCTTTAAAATATTTACCAGCGGTCGGATATTGGTGTGTATTTTCTGGTGTGACCAAATCTTACTTTACAAAAGGGCAAGGCAAGAGTTTGATAAGAACAGCATTAATACTTAAAGTGTAAGTGTGGGGAAATACATACAAGAGTAACTTAGAAACAATTAAATTAATGCAAAAACGGGCTATTAGATTAATAAATCAGGCAGGATACAAAGATCATACTAATGAACTATTTATAAAGACCGGACCACTGAAATTTCCAGATCTGGTTCAATTTAAAACAGCACAAATACTGCATAAGGCAAAAAACAACCAACTTCCCCTAAAAATAATGAAAGTGTTTCATGTAAAGGATGGAGCGTACCACCTGAGAGCCCGTTTGGATTTTAAAACACATTCTTTCAGAACAACATTAAAAAGCTGCTGTATCTCAGTGGCAGCTATTAAAATATGGAATGGTCTCTAACAGATGACATAAAGCAAAGTAAGAACATTTAAAAGAAAATTCAAAGAACAAATTTTGAATTCATATAGAAATGAAGAGCAGTAAAAAGCTAGAAAGCTTTATAAGTTATTGATTCTGTACCGATGAGAGCCTTGTTTTGTTGGACTGCACAGTTGCAACGGTGACTTTGTTGAAATTCTTTTTTCTTCTTTATTTTTTTTTAAAAATGTTGCAAATTTGTTAAATTGAATGACTCGATACTCTTAGTTTAAACTGGATTTTTTTCTCTTTTGAAACATTAAATATGTAAAGGGGCGGGGCCTTAAACATGCCTACTTCAACCTACCTCCATTTCAAACAATGTTGATTGCTACAAATTTAGTTGTTTACTTTATTTTTTTATTATTAATGCTTGAAATAAAAACAAACAAACAAATAAACAAACTTATCTCCAGAAGTTTCTGGAACAAAGCCCCATTGGTCCATTTCCCAAAACATGAAGCACACATATATTAACATCTGGCAAGTATTAATTTACTGTATATAAAGGCTAAAGCGTCAGTTCCCATTGTCTGTGATATTTGTAGAAACAGTTTAAAATAACACATCAAATCTTACATCGAAGCAAATCAAGAATTATTTCTTGTGTGTTTTCTGCTGATTTAGAGAAAGTATGGTTCTGGGATCTGGAAGAGTTTGCACATTCTTGCTGTGTTTGTCTCCTAATTCCATTTTTGGCTCTTTTTAAAACACAGATAAGGTTTTTCTTTACCTTGCTGATGGTTTCGTTTGCGGCTGCAAACATCCTCCCGTTGTTTGCCAAAAATGAAATTTGGAAGCTGGAATATTTCTGATGCTCATATGAAATGTTGCTACTGAAAAAAAAAGGTTTGAAAACAATGTTTCAGTCAGTGAATTGTTCTCCTTAATGACACCAATTTGTGCTAAATCGTTTATTCTTGTGAAACCAGATTAGCCACTTACAAAGCGATTGCACCTTTAAGGATTATGCTTTTTTGCCACACATGTTTGGGTAGTGTATAAAACATATGTGTCCAAGTCTCTCTCCAGTATTACTTCTCTGGCTGTGAGTTGCTTGGTGGATTTTCCACTGATAAAACAAAAAGCACTTACTTGTTTTTATCCTGTCAGAGCCTCAGAGGCATGTGGAAGACCCAAATCCGGCCACAAGAGCTTGGCTTCCTTTCCTTATGCTGGTCATCAGTCTTACCATGGGCTCAGGAACATTGATCACGCTTTCATACTGGTGCCCAACATCTGTGAAAGTGTTGCTATGTTGCTCATTCTGCATTTATTCAGTCCTTAAAAGTTCTTCTTGTTACAAAGGTGACTGATTCAGATATTAATTTATATAGAATAAAACATCAGTTGGAATTATAAAAGGGGAGTTGTTCTCATGAGTACTGTAACCCTAACGCTAACGTTAATGAGAAACTGTCTGGTCAGCCACTGAAACATTAATGTGTTCACCAAATAGTTTCTTAGATGCTTTCAGTTATTTAATCTCCAGTGTCCCTTTGTGAAATGTTCTTTTTCTGTTGTTTTTAAGACTCACATTAAATTCTTCAGTGAATCGTGTTCGCCCCGGTTCCCACAGTTAAACTCAAGTGACCTTATGCAAGTCTGATGTGTGTGAAGATTGTTAAATGGGTGGATGATCCTCCAGAACTGAAGCGTCAAAATTTAAAACAACATTTCAGTCCAAGAGCAGTAGCTGGACTTAAAGGGCGGATTCAGTTGTTTTAGCGTCCAGCCGAAGATTAACAACACAAAGTAAAGAGTGCAACAATAATATCAAACAGAGCTGGCTTTGAAACGGTTTTCTTTTTGAAAAAGATTTAAAAATATCAAATATTTAATTAGTGTTTTCTGAGTAAGGGCAGGTCTGTTTGAGTTGTTGTACATTTACTGTCCAGCTGGATTTACTAACAGGTGTGTCCTCATAGCTGTTATTGCAAGAACCACTTCCGCACTGGTGAGAGATTATTTTATTTTATTAGATATATTTTCCTACTTGGAAGTGGGGGGGGGGGGGGGGGGGGGGACTGAGTTAGGTAAAATGTTAACTTGGAGTTACAGGCAAGGACAGGCTAAACAATGTGCTAATGTTATCAATAGTGGGGTATTTATTAATATTCCTTGCAAATCATCCATAGATCCATCCATCCATCCATCCATTTTCCTTTGCTTATCTGGGGTCAGCTGACGAGGGCAGCAGCGTAAGCACAGAGGCCCAGACTCCTTTCTCTCCAGTCTCTGAGGTCAGCTCTTCCAGTGGCATCCTGATTTGGTTCAGTCACCAGGAGAACGTTCTGGATTCTGCTGACGTGACATTGTGCAGGTTTCAGTGCTTAAGGACACACATCTGCTCAGCTGTGTAGAAACCTTAGAAAAAGGTACCCGGTTATCATATTTGTTCCTAGTGAGATCTCGAGCCCTGGAGCTGTGACGTCACACAGTTAGTGGTACTGGATGAATAATGAGTCCGTTTCTGTCCTTCAGATGTGTCAGTAACGACCAAATGGCTGTTACCTGAAGCACATTTCTTTGTTTTGTTAGTTTGAATCTGCTCCACAGCCTCACCCCTAACTCATACCAGGGACCGGTGGCGCCTGTGCTCGGCAGCCTCGCCTCTGTCAGTGCGCCCCAGGGCAGCTGTGGCTACATCGTAGCTCATCACCACCAGTGTGTGAATGTGTGTGTGAATGGATGAATGATACACTGTAGTGTAAAGCGCTTTGGAGTCCTTACTCTGAGAGGCGCTATACACGTGCGGGTCGTATATTTATCATTTAGCATACTGGAAGCATCATCGGAGCGGAAAGGCAGCCGAACAGTTTCCCCATGACTTTTGCTGCACGCCGGCACACACCAGGAGAATCTCAGCTGCGACACGGCTTCTCTGCCTCGAGACTTCGAAGGTCATGGTTTGTTCATGTTGATGCTGTTCCTCTCTGCCAGGATTAAAATCATAAAAACACACTGCTGCACTTCTGGAATGGTGCTGGGAGTAAGTAAGCCGTTAGATCACTTGTATTGACGTAACCAACATAGATATGAAATTGCATCGCTGCAATAGTCTTTCATTTTGAAAGTGACTGGGAGTTTTACATTGAAACCATATGTGATTTCCTGTCTAGCCCTATGCTGACAGCAGAAACT